TCTCCAGTGCTTTCAATACCATCAAACCCACACTGCTGAAGGACAAGCTGGAGTGCACGGGCCTGGACCATCACCTCACCACCTGGATCCTGGACTACCTCACTAACCGACCGCAATATGTGAGGACCCAGGGCTGTCAGTCGGACACGGTGGTCTGCAGCACGGGGGCTCCACAGGGAACTGTCCTCGCTCCCTTTCTCTTCACCCTCTACACTGCGGACTTTAAGTACAGCTCTGCCAGTTGTCACCTGCAAAAGTTCTCTGACGACTCTGCTATCGTCGGCCTCATCACAGACGGAGATGACAGGGAGTACAGAGAACTGACGCAGGACTTTGTGGAATGGTGCCAGAGGAACTGCCTGCAGATCAACGCAGGAAAAACCAAGGAGCTGGTGGTGGACTTCCGCAAGTCCAAACATTCTCCTCCGGTGCCTGTGAACATCCAGGGAATGGACATTGAGATTGTGAAGTCCTATAAGTACCTGGGTGTTCACCTCAACAACAAGCTGGACTGGACTGACAACACAGCTGCCCTCTACAGGAAAGGCCAGAGCAGGCTACATCTCCTGAGGAGACTCAGGTCCTTTGGCGTGCAGGGGGCACTTCTCAGGACCTTCTTCGACGCTGTGGTGGCATCAGCCATTTTTTATGGAGTGGTGTGCTGGGGTAGCAGCATCTCCATTGCTGACAGGAAGAGACTGAATAAGATCATCAGGAAGTCCAGCTCTGTCCTGGGATGTCCTCTTGACCCAGTGGAGGTGGTGGGGGACAGGAGAATGAGGACTAAGCTAACAAACATGCTGAAGAACCTGTCCCACCCCATGCACCGCTCTCTGACAGCACTGAGCAGCTCCTTCAGTGCCCGGCTGCGGCACCCGCGGTGCGTGAAGGAGAGATACCGCAGGTCCTTCCTCCCAGCCGCTGTCAGACTCTAACAGTCACGGCACTCAGTAGACAGTAGTTTACAATTACTTTCCATGTGCAAGAACTCTCAACATCACTGCCACAGCACTTTACTGTGTGCAATATCTCAACCCACCATGCGTAGTATATTCACTGCGGATCACTGTCAATATGTTTACCACCATCATGTGCAATTATGTCAAGTGCAATATTTCTCCATTTATTACTGTTTATTTATTTGCTATTTTATTCACTGTGCAATACTCACTACAATACATACATTTCTACATTTCTAAATTTAAATTTAATACTTTGTATATTTTTCTTGTAATTTTTGTACATATACATATATCTTTATATTTTTATTGTTTATTCTATTTTATATATTGTTTGTATATTTCCTGCTGCTCTGTCTTCTGTGCTGCTGTAACACCGCAAATTTCCCCGTTGTGGGATTAATAAAGGATTATCTTATCTTATCTTATCTCTTATCTTATCATATCTTACTGAAAACTATGGAGCCCTGCTGGTGACATCCCATATAAATAAAAATAATGCGTCGCCACAACTTAGTAAGGCGTGGAAACGAGATCCGAACGCATGGCCACTGCATAGTAAGGAGTGGGAATGAGATAATTAAGCCTTGAAGACAGCTTAATAAAGCATGATCTCATTCCCATGCCTTACTAAGTCGTGGCCATGACTTAATTATGTCTATCCCACATCTTACTAAGTCATGGCCACGCTCTGCATGGTAAAACTCTTCTTTAGATAGAGAATGTGTTGTTTATGGTTCTATATGGCACCAAAAAGCATTCTGCTATTGTTGCAAACTTGACATCATATACAATAGCAGAACCTTTTTTGGTGCTATAGAGAACCATTTTCAAAAAAGTTACAGAACTTTGGTGGACAGTAACAAAGTAAATGTAATTCGTTTCTGTACTTAAGTACTTTTTCGTGTATCTGTACTTTACTAAAGTTTTTCCATTTTGGGTGACTTTTTACTTTCACTCCACTACATTTCAAAGTCAAATATCTCACTTTTTACTCCACTACATTATGAGAAATCTGTCGTTCCTTTTGGTTTATGTGTGTATAAAAACGTAACATGTCAAAACGAAGTGTGAAGCAAGAACACCAATCAGGGCACAGCGCACTTTGTTTTGAGCTTGTTTTGACCTGTTGGTCATACCGACCCAGTGCAGCACACGGTTTAACATCAGTGCAGCAGTGTAAAATTTTGGGAGAGTCTATTCAACATAAATGATGAACTAACCTAACTTTGTGTAAATAGACCACAATATAGAAATATGTACACATATGCAGTTGTGACTGACGTGTCTTTATTCTGAATTTATACAAACACATTTCATTTTATAGTAAATTAGTTTTGTCTAGTTTATGTTTATGAACAGAGACCTACAGATGCAGTTTAGTAAAGGAAACTCATTTGTGAATCTGAGTTTAAAGCATGTTTTTAATAAACTTATTTTAACTTGTAACTAAGTTGTAAATAAATCTTAAACTGAAACTTTGCTTGTTTGTAAAAAGTGATTTCAGAGCCACTCAGTTCTACCTGATGGAAACTGTTTGCCTTCAGTGTTTTGTGCTGATGATAATTTTAATAGACATCAGCATCACTAATTAATGACTCTATTAAAGACTGGTTTACCAAGAGAGACACTGGAGTATTTTCACCTAAAATGAGTTAATGAAGCGAGTCTTGTTACAAAAATGATAGTAGGACATCAGAGCCATAATTAATCTTTTAGTACTTTTACTTTCGATACTTAAGTACATTTGAAGGCAAATACTTTAGTACTTTTACTCAAGTGGAGGTCTAAAGGGAGGAACTTCTACTTTTACTGGAGTAATATTTTACCTTGGGTGTCTCTACTTTAACTCAGGTACATGATTTGTGTACTTCGTCCACCACTGATACAGAACCATATACAACACATTCTCCATCAATATGAAGAACTGTTTCACCATGCACAGAACCATTTAAGCATGCAAATGGTTCTAAATAGAGCCATTGCCTTCACTGAAGAACCCTTAAAGAGCCATCTTTTTCAGTGTGTATGCTTACTGATGTGGACATTGTTGTTATAGCCACATTTAAATGAACAAAATGACAAAATAGTATTAATTCTTGACAAAAAATTAAAATTAGCCTGAACATTTGGCTCTGATCTTGTGAAATGAGTGAATAATCTTGCCAAGAAAAGCAGCAAAGCCAATGTCAGAGTTCAGAGTTTATGTGTTTATGGTTTAAGCCTCAGTATAAAGCTTATCTATCCAGAGAAAACACAATGAAAGAGCACAGTGAGGAGGGTTTATCTGTTTTATTATTATAACCATAGCACGGCGGTCATGCCAATGAGGACCCATGCACATCGTCTACACAAATGACATCTCACAGTCACTGCAACACTCTGCTCTAAAGGAGAAAAAGGATAAGACACTAGGTTTCACCCTCTCTTCTGACCTGATGTGGAAGATCCCTGGTTGTCCATGACGTTTCAAGTAAACACTTTTTTTGGTGTATCCCCCGACTCCCACATACAATCAGAACAGGAAACGGTTTCACTCAACCCACAACAGTCACTCCACCAGCAGCACTACAGCAGAGATAATATACAACTGATTCTGTCCAAGAACAACGTAAAGCAGCTGTAAGGAATCACCTTATCCACCTTCTTTCATAGCTACTGCTGTGAGGCTGGACAAGCTTTACAGAACGCAGGTGAAAATCCCACTAAACCTAATGAGAAACTGTAGAACAGACTCAGTTTATATCACAATACCTACATTTAGAGTCAATTATTCAATCAGCCTAATTAGAAACTGTAGAACAGACTCAGTTTATATCACAATACCTACATTTAGAGTCAATTATTCAATCAGCCTAATTAGAAACTGTAGAACAGACTCGGTTTATATCACAATACCTACATTTAGAGTCAGTTATTCATTTAACCTAATGAGAAACTGTAGAACAGACTCAGTTTATATCACAATACCTACATTTAGAGTCATTCATTCAGCCTAATGAGAAACTGCAGAACAGACTCAGTTTATATCACAATACCTACATTTAGAGCCAGTTATTCATTCAACCTAATGAGAAACTGTAGAACAGACTCAGTGTATATCACAATACCTACATTTAGAGTCAGTTACTCACACGCTGCACCACCTACAGCAGGAAAAAGAGGGAGCTAACAAATTGTTCTGTTATGTTTCTGGTCAGTGTTCTGTCTATTACACTATATTTAACAACACAGTTCAGGTGTATAGCATTTATTTTTTAAAATTTAATTAGAGGCTACATCACATTTTATCATTATTACCACGTATTACAAAACAGATATAGGTCCAGTAGTAAAATTTGATTGGCTGAGCCTCATTCAAAGCCATAAAATGAACAGATTCATCCATGCTCCACCCACAAAAATGAAACTGAGCCCTGTTCTACAGTTTCTCATTAATTTGAATGAATAACTGACTCTAAATGTAGGTATTGTGATATAAACTGAGTCTGCTCTACAGTTTCTCATTAGGCTGAATGAATAACCGACTCTAAATGTAGGTATTGTGATATAAACTGAGTCTGTTCTACAGTTTCTCATTAGGCTGAATGAATAACCGACTCTAAATGTAGGTATTGTGATATAAACTGAGTCTGTTCTACGGTTTCTCATTAGGCTGAATGAATAACTGACTCTAAATGTAGGTATTGTGATATAAACTCAGTCTGCTCTACAGTTTCTCATTAATTTGAATCAATAACTGACTCTAAATGTAGGCATTGTGATATAAACTAAGTCTGTTCTACAGTCTCTCATTAGGCTGAATGAATAACTGACTCTAAATGTAGGTATTATGATATAAACTGAGTCTGTTCTACAGTTTCTCATTAGACTGAATGAATAACTGACTCTAAATGTAGGTATTGTGATATAAACTGAGTCTGTTCTACAGTTTCTCATTAGGTTGAATGAATAACTGACTCTAAATGTAGGTATTGTGATATAAACTGAGTCTGTTCTACAGTTTCTCATTAGGTTTAATGGGATTTTCACCAACGCTCCGCAAAGCTCGTCCGACCTCACAACAGAAACTACAAAAGGATAATTGAAGACCGCTGTCCTTCCTTAATACCAAGTTTAGAGAAGAAATAAGCATCTGAAAGGCTCCACTGTCTGTTTATACAGAAGGATTGTGGATGTGCAGGTTGTGGAACACTTTAAAGCACTTTTTACTCACACCCTGGAGGAAAACTCACTCAGAATAAACACTAACAGTGACCTGGAGGCCTTCAGCCGTTCGCGATTGACTAGCGTTCAGTGTCATAATACACAGCAGACCTACTTGTTGCAGTCCCAGTGAAAGGAATAGCCCATCAAAACATGCCAACAGGGCACAAATGGAAGGTTAGTAAGACCCCATTTGCCTAATGCTAATGCTAACTGCTGGCTATTCACATTTAACTACTGTTAGCAACAATTAGCTATCATTTTTTGACGTAACTATTCCTTTCACCCAAATCACTGGCTACATACAATACAGCGCTAAACAGTCCTGTCCAGGAAAACAAGCAGTTCATAGCAAACTTGAGGGGCTACAATGCAATGCGATGCAGGGAACCTTTTTCCATAGCCTATTAGCATGAAATATGGCCTAGCTACCCTATAATTAGAGTTAGAACAGTTTTCTTACACTGTTAAGGGTTAAAATCTACTACAATATGGATGGTCTCTAACGCTAGTGGGGGTGGATGACGTACACCTCTTTAGGCTGGAGTTTTTTCTCATTTAAAGGTGAACTGTAGTCGGCTAATTCTATCCAGGCTAACTTAGGAAAGAGTAAAACGTGGTTTAAGAAGGTATTGCTCCACAGAAAGTCTTTTTTCACGTCCCTTGTGAGCACTTTAGCCAGTCATACCGGTACAAACATAAATAAATACTGCATGTACGCACATACAACACGCATACATACTTACCCAAAGCTAACAGTTAGCTCACACTAATACTGCTCTCTGTTAGCGGTAAAGAAATAGCACATTCATCATCATCATCATCATCATCAGCATCATCATCATCACTGTACTTCGGTCTAGTAAGACTGCGGCTGCGGCTGTGCACGTGGTAGTATGAGGAGCGCGAGGCTGATGGGTAAATGTGTTCGCTGAAGATGTTCACGCATTGAAAGTACATTCAGTATCAGTCAGTTTCCAGAACCTCCTCTTCTGTTTCTCTTCCACTCCGCTTGCTTCATCCACACTCGACAGTCCGTCACTCACTCCACCTGCCCAAGTGACAGAGGAAGATCATTACTATCACATTATTAAACGTTTAACATGTAAACAGAGCCGCTCAGAGTGGTTTGGTGTGAAACGCTCCGTTCTAGATAAACTTACTGAGTCAGAACTGTTCACAATGGTGGTGATAGGAACCAGACGTCCACCTCTAAAAGCTCACAGAAGGTTATTACATGAAATGGTTATAAATTCCCTGCCTGATGACTGACACACTGTTTTATGATAGTTTTGAGAAGATTTTGGTCTTAAACTCCATTCATGGTGGAGGGATACATAATATGCAGGGCACTGTGAGGCAAAATAGTCCCCAAAGAAAGCTTATTATTTCAGATTTTCCACTATTTTCCATCATCAACATTTCATATAAGCTCAGAAGACTCGTGTAGGTTCACTGGTGGTTCTGGATAGTAAATAAAATGTCTATATCTGTGTTGTAGTCATGGCGACCCCTGGTTCCTATCAGCACCACTGTAAAGACATCTGAACCATTTCACACCAAACCACTCTGAATCACTGTTTCCATCTCACACACTGAGTTATGGGGGAATTTTGGTGGAAATCGCCTTCAAAGCAATAGCTTGCTGGAAGATCGAATTCCCCCACTTTCCCTGCCTCCTTACCCCAAATGTGGATCAGCTAAGTTTACAATTATGATTAATCATGATTAACTACATAAAATGAATTTAACTGTGATGAATTTAATAATTTAACAGTTCTGATATAGATGTGATTATAGACGTCTTGGCTGTCAGACCTCAATTATAGGAAGGGGGACAACAGCATAAATTAGATTTTTGGCAGAAATAATTTTGCTTGAATAAATAATAAATATGTGACAGGGCTGCAGCTGGGGTTGAATGATTCATCATTTTCATATCGATAGACAGATAGAACTTTATTGATCCCGAAGGGAAATTGCAAGATCACAATTTGAAAAAGTGCACAAATCACAAGGGCTACAATTTAAATGATATCTCATATTGTTCAGTGTTGTCATAACTTTTAATCACAGTATTGGTCAGAAAAATTGCAATTAGATGTTTTCCCCAAAGCTCTACTCTCCAGCCATTTACACTCTTAAAAAACATGGCTCTTCAAGGCTTCTTTAGTAAAGACAGTGGTTCTATATAGAACTATGAACACTCAAAGAACCATTTGCATGCTTAAAGGTTCTTTACATGGTGAAATAATTTTTCAGATTGATGAAGAATGTGTTGAATATGGTTCTATATAGAACCATTTTGGAAATGGTTCTATCTAGCACCAAAAATGATTCTGCTAATGTTATGATGTCAAGCTTGTAAGAATACAAGAACACTTTTTGGTGCTATATAGAACCATTTACAACACATTCTCCAGACTGAAGAACCGTTTCGCCATGCAAAGAAACCTTTGTGTTCGTGGTTCTATATAGAACCACTGTCTTTACTAAACAACCCTTGAACCAACTTTTATATATGGGCAAATATATGTAGAACATATTTGGGATTGTGGCCCAATATATGCAGAATATGTTTGGAATTTTGGGACAATATAGGCAGAATATATATCATCAGACAGGTGTTCAGATCTGGATGATGATTTCTACATTTTATAAATGTTAACTTATTGGCAATTGTGGGCCAATACGTGCAGAATTGTGGGCCACGTGTGTGTACGATGGATATCATATAATATCGCAATATTATTTTCAAGCAGTTATTTACCGATACGGTTCTGATATCATCGTTCTTTACAGACTCACCTCTCTAAGCTCCGCCCCCTCCTCCTTACTGAATGTTGAGTTTGGAGGCGGGGCTGGTGGAGATGATTTTGTTGTCGCCGCTCGGGCTGCAGACCCCCTCGATCAGGTTTTTGTTGCAGTCTCCCAGCGTGGCGCCCTGTGGAATTCTGGGATACGCCACGTGACCCGTCAGGTCCAGCAGGTCCTCCAGCGCCCGCGTGTTACTCACTCCGTTCTGCTGCACGTCCGCCACCGGAGAAAACTCCGGGATGGAGATCAGCTCCTCTTTCGACACGGGGCTGATGGGATAGGAAGGAGAGTCTCAGTGTTGAAGTGATGGCAAAATATCTAATTTACACAATCAACTCCCCCCAACCCAATCAGCCAGGACACGTTTGGTGTAGAGATGTGCATTTTAACTTATTTTAATATCTGAGTATCCTGAGTTCATCCGGGAAGGAAAACCACAGCAAAAAAGTAGCTTTTTAGGTGACGACAGGGCTTTTTAGGTGAAGACACTGGTGCTGTACAAAGATACACAACATGCATGTTTTATTACACTGCAAAAAATAGTATCTTAGACAGTCTAATCTGGTCGATATGTCTAATATTTCTCATGTTGAAACTGTTGTAGCCTATTATATGATTTTTTAAACTGTCATTGTCATTTTCCACTCCCAGTCCAATTTACTGATTTTTCCTTCATTTCTTTCTTTCGTTATCCTTTGTAAATTAGTTTAGTAAATAATTTTAATTTAGCACAGCCTCAGACTCAACGTTTCTAAAACTAAATCATTTTATATCAGACCTAGTCATTAAATTTTTTTTTTTTATTCAGTCATTTGTGATGTTAGTCTTAGTTTATTTTCCCAAAAAACATTGAGAAATCTCAAAATCTGTTGAGTTTAAAAACTAGTTGTCTTGCATGCAGGACAATCCGGGTGGCATACAGTCAGCGGGGTACCAACCTTATTAAGCCAGCGGACTTATACAGGGAGATTCACTCGAAAGAGGCCCCGAATATTCTGTAATAACTCTCTCTAGGACGAAGCAATCTGAACGAAACAACATGCAATGAGCTCCTCAGCATATGGAGCTTCGAACAAGCCAGGATGCCCCTGTGTCGGAGCGATGAGGGAGGCGCCGGACAGCCGCCGCGACGTTTAACCTCCTTTTGCAACTTCCAGGTGCATACCCCCGTACCCCTTCACTCAGTCACTCGACTTCTCATCAGGATGGTGGTATACAGTATAAAGTAAGGAGCATGGCAGAATTTGAGTCCTTCTTCGGCAACAGGGTCATTTGAAAGGGGCTTTGGCCACCACGGTCGCCGGATCTGACACCACCAGACTTCTTCCTTTGGGTTATGCTCAAAGGAAAAGCCTATGGGAACAAGCCTCACACTGTGGAAGGTTTGAAGGAAAACATCCAACGTGAAATTGCTGCTGTTCAACCGATATGCTTGCCGATACGTTCAGGAACATGGAGCGCCACGCCGAAATGTGTCTGGCAGAAAATGCGTAATGTAATGCAATCAATTATACATACGTCAAGATATGTAGCGTATTTTTTTGGTTCAGATTGCTTCATCCTAATGGGAGTTACAGCAGAATATTCGGGGCCTCTTTCAAGTGAATCTCCCTGTATAAGTCTGCTATCTGGGTTCGCACTGGAGCTACGAGGCTAACATAGCTAGAAAGTAATGGAAATGATATCACCTCTGCTGAAAAAACAAGCTGATCTATGCTTTTTAGGTGGTCACCCAGCAAAGTCATGATGGCGGACTAGCGTACCAGCACCCAAAACACATGTTTATGTTAGTCTGTGCTGTTTTTTCTGGCAGGGGCACCAATTAGCATGATGCTAACTTCATGCCTAAATCATCTCACACATGCCTATATCCCATTTTTCTAGATGGGATATAGGCATGTGTGAGATGAAACCGTGGGAAACCGTGATGGGTTTGGAACACGTCCACTAGTGGCCTCACCTGACCTCCATCGACTGAACTTCCTCTTCATTTGCTCCGCCCCTTTTCTCTATAGGCTCCAGGTTAATGAGAGGAGGCGGAGCCCGGGAAACTGGTAAAGGGGGGAGGGAGGCGGGGCTGCTGTCTTTCAATCCCGGCTTTGATGTCACTTGTGATGGTGTCTGTATAATAATAGTAATAATAATAATAATAACAACTTAAGTAGAATTTATAATTAAAATGATACTAAAATTAATACTGAGAACAAAGTTTTGATAAAAATTATATCCAAGTTCTTGTATTTCAAAACATCAAATGTTTGTTGGGATATGCAAATATTAGTGATCTTAAAAATAGGCATTTGGAAAAAAATTAAATATAAGTTTTAGTACAACAGGAGGAGTCCTCACCTGGACGGTGGACACCTGTGTGCTCACCTTGTTTCCCCGGCCGTTCACCAGGGGGCCGTCTGGAGTCTTCACAGTGCGATCCTGAGCTGGAGACTGGACCTTCACTTGCTCAGACACTGGGCTTTTCACCTGGCTGCTGGGCTCCTGTTTTACCACCTGGGTTACTGGGTTGGGAGATGATACCTGAGCAGGTGCCTTTACCTGAACAGGTGATTCTGCCTGGGCAGGTTTCTTTACTTGGGCAGGTGCTTCTGCCCGGGCAGGTGATTCTACACGGACAGGTGCTTTTACCTGGGCAGGTGATTCTACCTGGACAGGTGCTTTTACCAGCGCAGGTGCTTCTACCTGAGCAGGTGCTTTTACCTGGGCAGGTGATTCTGCCTGGTCAGGTGCTTTTACATGGACAGGTGCTTTCACCTGAACCGGTGCTTCTCCCTGGACAGGTGCTTTTACCTGGACAAATGTCTTCACCAGAACCGGTGATTCTACCTGGGCAGGTGCTTTTATCTGGACAAATGTTTTTACCTGGGCAGGTGCTTCTACCTGGGCAGGTGCTTTTATCTGGACAAATGTTTTTACCTGGGCAGGTGCTTCTACCTTGGCAGCTCCTCTCTCTCTGTCCTGTACCAGAAGCTGGCTGTTTTCTTGTTTTTGCACACTTTGGTTTTCACCTGTCACCTTCAGCTGGGTTCCCTGCACCTGCACTGTGGGACACTCGTTTTTTCTCACCTGGGCACTGCCCTCCTTCACCTGACCTCTCTCACCCTTCTGCTCTGTATGTTTTTCACTGTGTGTCTGCCCGTTTAATGAGGGACTCTTCAGTTGCACCTGTGCAGGTGTGTTTGCTCCCTCTCTGGAACTCTCCACTCTCTTCTCTGCACTCTCCTGCCTGCGGACTGGCACAGGAGCTGGAGGGTTCACCTGAGTGCTGCTAGGTGGAGTCTTTACCTCACCGTTCACCTTTGAGTTCACCTGGATTTCACCTGCAAGATTAAAGAATGACTGCATCACATTCGTGCAGCTGGCAGTGAGAGTAGCACATTACAGTCTGTCAGAGTGACTGTGTGGATCATATGAACATTATAGAGGCTTTTTAAATGAAACAGTAGAAGCCATATCGCCCCCTACACTTCCTGTAGTGTATTACAGTCTGTCAGAGTGACTGTGTGGATCATATGAACATTATAGAGGCTTTTTAAATGAAATACTAGAAGCCATATCGCCCCCTACACTTCCTGTAGTGTATTACAGTCTGTCAGAGTGACTGTGTGGATCATATGAACATTACAGAGCTTTTTAAATGAAACAGTAGAAGCCGTATCGCCCCCTACACTTGCTGTAGTGTATTACAGTCTGTCAGAGTGACTGTGTGGATCATATGAACATTATAGAGGCTTTTAAATGAAACAGTAGAAGCCATATCGCCCCCTACACTTCCTGTAGTGTATTACAGTCTGTCAGACTGAATGTGTGGATCATATGAACATTATAGAGGCTTTTAAATGAAACAGTAGAAGCCATATCGCCCCCTACAGTTCCTGTAGTGTATTACAGTCTGTCAGACTGAATGTGTGGATCATATGAACATTATAGAGGCTTTTAAATGAAACAGTAGAAGCCATATCGCCCCCTACACTTCCTGTAGTGTATTACAGTCTGTCAGACTGAATGTGTGGATCATATGAACATTATAGAGGCTTTTAAATGAAACAGTAGAAGCCATATCGCCCCCTACACTTCCTGTAGTGTATTACAGTCTGTCAGAGTGACTGTGTGGATCATATGAACAAACTCAAAAGGAGAGCCCGTCCTCCTCTGGGATTCAGCAGTAGTGGTATTGTTCCCACAGGAGGTTCAAAATAACTGACCGATCAATACTGCTGACTACCTGCCCCTCCAAGGTCTCTTCTGTTGTTTGTGACCACGACGGCCTCGTTTGTCCAGTGAGATGCCTCACTTATACGCCAACAGTGATAAACATACTATCTGTTTACTCATCATATTATTTCATTCTATTTCAACATCTGCACTTTGTTTAGAGGATGACAGGGTGAAAATATTCAAATTTACACAATTTTCCACTTCGCCTCCAGTGATTCGGGGCCTCTGATTGGCCACTGTTTTTCTCCCCTCCGTCTCTTTCATCCCCTCTCTCTTTCTCTCTCCCCCTTTCTCTCTCTATCTCCCTCACTTTCTCTTTCCCCTCTCTGTTTCTCTCCGTCTTTCTCTCTTTTTCTCTTTCTGTTTCTCTCTCCTCTCTCTTCCTCCTCCCTCTCTTTCTTCCCCTCTCTCTTTCTTTTTTTCCTTCCTGTTTCTCTCTCTTCCCCTTTCTCTTTTTCTCTCTCCCTCTCTTACTCTCCCCCTCTTTCCATCTCTCTCCCACTCTTTCTCTCTCCCTCTTTATCTCTCCCCCCCCTATCTCTCTCCCCCTTTCTCTCTCTTTCTCTTCCTGTCTTTTTCTCTCTCCCTCTTTCTCTCTCTCTCTTCTTCCCCTGCTCTATCTCTCTCTCCATTTTCTCTCTCTCTCTTTCTGTCTTTTTCTCTCTCCCTCTTTATCTCTCTCCCCCTCTTCCCCCTGCTCTATCTCTCTCTCTCTCTTTCTCTTCCTGTCTTTCTCTCTTTGTCTGTCCCCCTCTCTCCCTATCTCTGCCCCCTCCTCTATCTCTCTCCCTGTCTTTCTCTCTCCACCCCCTCCTTCCCTCCCCAGCCTCTCTCTCTCCCCCTCTTCCCCCTCTCTCTCTCCCCCCTCACCCTTATTCTCTCTCTCTCTCTCTCTCTCTCTCTCTGTCTCTCCCCCCTCTCCTTCTCTGTCTCTCTTTTTCCACCTCTTACCCTTCCCTGCGCCCCCCCCCTCTCTTCCTCCCTCTCTCTCTCAGTCAGAGGGGAGTAACTGAACTGAAAGTGCTGTATGGCAGTTTAAATATAGCCCTAAATGTCCTTGACCAGACGGCCTTCAGCTCACACTGCTGAACTCGGGGAATCCGATCCGGCCGGCTATCAGAGCGCCGCAGCCAATCAGCACTGCGCAAAAACCACCACTGCTACCACGGCTCACACACCGCACACTCAGACTGCAGCCAGCAGGGGGCGCCATCTCTCACTCTGACACCAGTTCTCTGTGTCCAGTAGCCAGAGGAGCCGTACAGGCCTTGAGACTATGCTGTCAGATGAGCGCTCTGCTCCTGGACTCTGGACTCTGAGCTGGCTAGGTGGATCAACCTCACTACCAGAATATCAGAGCAAAATCAGGGAAGATTCTCAAGTAGTATCCAACTGCAGACCCGCAGTGCTGCACTTTCAGACCCGCACTATCAGCTCCTTACCAGTGCGCCTCCTGTGGTTCATTTCAGAATTGCAGTCATACTTTCCAGCCCTTACGAGAGAATTTGACAGTGACGTTTTTTGTTTTTTTAGCACCAAAGTGTCTACAGTACATAGTAATGCTGCTTTTAAGTGCAAGTGAGGCAGTAGTTTTGTACGAGGAGGAACTTGTTAGCCTATCGTGCGCGTCCAAGTGTTTTTTTGTGACAGATGAAGAGATACTGAGGTTGTGAAATGGGTGTTTATTAGCTCGCTGATTTATATATCAGTTTTGGCCTTGTTTACTGGTGTTTTGAACCCATACGCTCTTAAAAAGAATGGATGAAGGTTCTTTGAGGGTTCTTTAGTAAAGGAAATTGGTCTATTTAGAACTATGAGTTCTACATAGAACCATTTCATGCTTAAATAGTTCTTGGTGAAACGGTTCTTCAGATATCTGAGGGTTTCTTAAACATTATGCAGTAATAGCAGAGCCGGTTCTCTGGTAATAGGCATCTGTACGTACTCCATGTGACGAATGGCTAGCCTCTTGACCTTTACACGACATCATATCCGGAGCTGAGAGTGCGGGGTTGACAGTGTGGCTCTGCAGCTAGAACCAGAGAACTTGTAGTGAGGAGAATTTCCACTCTGTAATGTCTTCCGGGTTTCTCAAACACTAGAGGGCGCTCCCAAGAGAGTCCAAAATGAATGGGTTAAGATGGAGCATTTCAGCAAAATCATAGTATATAAATGCTGAAACCTTTTAAATGTAAAAGAACACATTAATATTCTGAACACAGAGCAGCATAAAACATTTTAACACCACTGTTATATTATTAAGAGCTTTTAAACTCGAGTTATAGGAGAATTATTTATTATCACCCACCCCTAATTCTTCAGTGATATGAAGCTGAAGTCAGATATTCACCAGCTTTGTCTTTGAATTTTCCTGTTCCACCTTAAATGGAGCAGCAGTTACATTCTGGCGCTTCAGGTGTCAGAACTGCTGGACTATTTAAGGTGGAACGGGAAATTTACTTAGCTTGAAAAGGACCATAATACATTGAAACAACATTGAACTAAGATGATACACTTATTATTGTCATTTTTAACGGAGAAGATTCTTTGGTCTCTTGTGCTCCATCTTGCCTGATTTTCTTTTTCTCATAACACTCTGTTGGGAGGGTCATGTAGCCCTAACGCCTCGCCTTTTCCCTCTATCTCAACAACAATCATGAAACCCTACCCCTAGATGTGAACGTGCAAAACGGTAGGGGTGTGGGGTGAAAAACAGAACTTTCCAAAACTGTTCAAAAACTGATTCAAAGCTCCTGAGAAAATGTGTCTCCTAACAACCACCTGGAAGAGCTGGTCGACCCCAAAACTGCCCCCATCAGATAAACAGCACTTAAAGCTTTCATCTCTGAGAGAGAGGAGAAAATCAAGCTGCTTCAGATCTGAAAACATCCACAGGTGTTTCTGTCCATCCTTCCACTGTGAGAAGACGACTCAGCGCTGTGGGTCTGAAAGGAGGTGTAGCTGATCAAGAAGAACCTCACTGAGAAAAGGAGACGGACACATCAAACAAAGAAGCTGAACAATGGACTGACCACCCCAGAGTCCAGACCTCAACACCACTGAATGTGTTTGACTACTTCAGAAAAAAATCAACCAGCTTCTGAGACTGAACTTTGGAGGTGTGTCTGCAGATTCTTTGAGGAACTGAAAGTGAGTCTCCTGAAGAGAATGGAAGCTGGAATAAAGGGAAAGAGTGACTCACTGACTCACACACAGCTGATATTAGAGTTAGCTGCTGAGGCAGTTCATGTGGGAGAGAGACTGAGAGAGAGACTGAGAGAGAGACTGAGAGAGAGACTGAGAGAGAGACTGGGTTGGACAGAGAGAGAATGAAAGAGGCTGAGAGAGTAGAGCACTGCATTAACGGCAGACTGACCTGGTGGGGAGAGTTGGTGGGACGGGGGCGACTGGAGCTCCAGGCTGTCCTCTCTCTGTGGAAATACACACACATCATTAAAGCCACTCCAGCTCTCCTCACTCACTTCCGCTCCAGTTTCCCTCTCTGACACAAATCAGGCCTATTAAAGTCGTCTCTCTCCAGGGCCGCAGCACAGGTACCACTAAAACTCCACTGAAACCTGCGGAGAGCTGAGAGCTTTAACTGCTAAATGACTGGAAGAAAAGATACATAACAGTTCTATAAATCTATAAAAGTATGGCCGAACAGATGATACGGATTTACATATGCTAATGTCTTTAGTCCAAGTTTATGGTTAGCAGTGTGTCATATTGACATACTGCATGGGAAGGAGTTTCAGTTGTACTGGGATGAGTTTTGTTTGTACTGGGAGGAGTATCGGTTTTACTAGGAGGAGTTTTGGTTGTACTGGGAGGGGTTTTGGTTGTACTAGGAGGAGTTTCTGTTGTACTGGGAGGGGTTTTGGTTGTACAAACATCCAACAGGTTTTTAGCATCTCAGTCATTCTGAACAAGGCGATATGTTTATTGTATAAGCTGAAAAGTGCTCATTGGGTAGCCAGAAAGGCTGACTGATAGATGAAAAATGAAAAATAAAAACAGAAAAAAATGTTTTTATATTCTGGTCGTATTATTTTCATGTTAAACGTCACCTTCATCTCCCCATCGCTCTTCCTCGTCCTCTTCATGATCTCTTCAATTCTCTGGAAACAGAGATATTCACACACTACTTAAGTCTGTTTACGTTTCCAAAAACTTTAACAAAAAGCCTTCATAGAGCAGAGACACTGATCATAGCACTGTAGAATTTACAGCAGATCTAGTGATTAGTGTAAAGTTTACGGCTTGTGTAGTACTTATCGTAAAGTTTACATCTGGTGCATTGCATGGTGTAACATTTATAGCTGGCGTATCACTGGTGTAAAGTCTACAGCTGGTGTAGCATTTAGTGTAAAGTTTACAGCTGGTGTATTCTGTGGTGAAAAGTTTACAACTGGTGTAGTGTTTAATGTAAAGTTTACAGCTGGTGTAGTGTCTTGTGTAAAGTTTAGAGCGGATGTAGTGCCCAGTGTAAAGTTTACAGCTTGTGTGTTGTGTGGTATAAACTTTACAGCTGGTGTGTTGTGTGGTGTAAAGTTCACAGCAGGTATAGTGCTTAGTGTAAAGTTAACAGCTGTTCTAGTGCTAAGTGTAAAGTTTTGTGCACGGCTATTTTTGTATATACTGTAAAGTTTGTAAAACCTTTTTCCTCTGCTGTCTCTCCTGTTCTTCCTGCTGCTTCATCTGTTCTCTCTCCATCCGCTGACGCTTGGCATCTCTCTGTTACACACACACACACACACACACGCACACGCGTTCAGGAACTAGTGGTGATAAACGTGTTAAACGTTGTGTTGGATTGTCTAGTATAAAAAAGAAAAAAAAAAGTATAATTATCAAATATATTTTTGCAATGTATGAAAATCACCAAACTGTTTATTGTTAATGTATTTATACTGCCTGGAAAAGGACGGCATGCCCACCCCAGGTGAGGGGAGAGGACCTGCCCCAGGAGGAGGAGTTTAAGTATCTCAGGTCTTGCTGACAAATGATGGGAAGAGGGATGGTGAGGTCGGCTGGGACAGGCGGCAGCAGTAATGCGGTCACTGAACCGGACTGTAGTGGTGAAGAGGGAGCTGAGCCGTAAGGCAAAGCTCTCTGTTTACCGGTCAGTCTACATCCCGACCCTCACCTGTGGTCATGAGCTGTGGGTAATGACCGAAAGAATGAGATCGAGGATACAAGTGGCAGAAATGAGCCTCTTCACAGGGTGGCGGCTACACTCTACTGACAGCGTGAGGAGCTCGGTCATCCGGGAGGGACTCAGAGTAGAGCCACTACTCCTCCGCATTGAGAGGAGCCAGTTAAGGTTGGTTCAGGCATCTGATCAAGATGCCCCCTGGACACCTCCCAGTGGGGGTGTACCACGCACGGCCTACTGGGACGAGACCCCAAGGTCGTCCGAGGACCACTGGAGGGATTATATCTCCAAGTTGGCCTGGGAGCAGCTCCCCAGAATGAGCTGGAGAAAGTTGCGGAGGACAGGGCTGTCTGGGATTCTCTGCTCTCCCACCTGCTACCGCGACCCCATCTGGACTAAGCGGTTAAGATGATGATGATGTATTCATACTGTATGTTACATTGGCTGCATCACTAGAATTACCACAGTGGAGGCACCAGCGTCTGGCACTGATCATGAACTCTGTCTCTCACTTTGGCAGAGAACCTATGAGAGGGTTCTAACTTTACGTTACTTCCTCCTGGATTAATCAGAATATTTCTGAAAGATTTCAAGCTCTAAGCTTCTTGTGATAAAATCTCGTTAGCTCTGTCATTCTCTCTTCATCCGGGGTCGACCAGAGGAGGATGGGTTCCTCCCTTGAGCCTCGGTTCATCTTGAGGTTTCTTCCTCTTTATCATAGGGAGCTTTTCTTTGCCACTGTCATCTCTGGCTTGCTCATGCGATTGGACCCAGATTGGACCTGGATTCAGTTCCTTACGTCTATACATGGACTACTTTTTATTTTCTCTTGTTTTCTTTTTTATTCTTTTGATCCTTCCTAAACTGCTTTTCTGTAAAGCTGCTTTGAGACAACACTAGTTGTAAAAAGCGCTATAAAAAATAAATGTTGTTGTTGTTGTTGTATGTTACATTACATGCTATGGTATATTACAACGCCAGGACAGTACTGATAAAAAATGCATTTTAAATGAAGAAATTAATCTGCATAGCTGCTTATATATTTAGTACATAGAGGTACTTTTGATTAGCTAATGTTCAACATCCACAGTGCTTGTGCACATAGTTCTTTGTGTCTGTTCTGAAAAATATTTCATTTCATTTTTAATGGACTGTGGAAGTAAATCCAAAGTATCTGAATGCATTTTACACAGAAAATATATATTCTGTTTCTGTGTTGGGCAGTAAATTATCTTAACTCTAAAATATTTTTTAAACTTTCGCACTTCTTGCTTGTAGTGATGTAAAATCGCGATGTTCCTCAGATCCTGCCGAAGGTCCTGTGGCTGTAATGAAGTGCTTTATCAGGATCCACTCTGAGTGGGTTTGTTTTAGAGCTCGTGTCTCCATCAGTGGCCGCCTGCTACAAGGCTAACAAGGCTGAAAGGCTTTGGGGATTTACTGTAAAAGCATTATAACCTCTCTCTCCATCTGCGCCCCTACCTCCTTCTCTTCCTCCTCCCTCCGCCGCTCCTCCTCTTCCTCGCGAACTCGCTCATCCGCTCGCTTCTGAGCCTTCAGCTGCTCTGCTTTCAGCCTTGCACACAAACACAAACATGTACAGGTGCATCGTCACTGGTGGGAACCTCAGATCTTGACGTGATCTGTAAACACCAGCTGCTTTTCACAATGTGTACAATTTCACAGAGAATGGACCAATAGAATCACTGGATTCCAGCTCTTTCTGCATTTAATGTAAACATTTTAATACTTCAACTGACAGCAGATTTTAATAATAAAAGTGTGCTTTTCTTTTAACATGTGGTTTTATGTGTAGCAGTTTTTTCAAAAGCATAAATAAAACAGCAAATTACAAAATTAATAATAGAATGATTTTCAGTTTTCTGCCAGGTGCGTCTGTTCAATTACAGGAACTTTTATTTCAGTGCATCACTAATTATTTACTTATTTTTGTTGTAATCGTGTTTTAGTATGTTTTTAATTTCTCCTACATCTTTTTCACTTTTAATCTAACACTTGAACCCTTTAACCTTCTGCTTGACCATTTGGTAGAGCACATTTTGAGTCACTATATATGCCACAAAGTGCCATCTTGACCGTTTGGTAGACGTGAATATTTTAAAAATTGTGGGGTCAAAAAAATGAAAAAAAAAAGTGTTTATTTTTGCCTCAAACAAATAAAAAATACAAAATATGAAATTCCATTGCTTTTTTCTTGGTGAGGATATTAAAGCCTTAAGTGAGCACAATGAATGAAAGATGCTGTATAAATAAACCTGCCTTGAAGATTCGTACATTTACTCACGTGTCGGTGAAACTGAACGCTTGTGCTTAACTAAAAGGCAGGAGATTCTTCTTTTCCTCTTTTCTTTGTTTTCTCTTGTCAATCAGTTCCTGTGCATTTTAATTTACTTTTTTATCCAGTCAGTTTTATAACTGAGTAAAACAAAACGCTGAACCACACAAACCAGACGAGAAACTTTTCATTTATTTGTTTAAACATTTTCTTTTTACTTTTACACTCCTGAGTGTGTTTAAGTGATACTGAACCCTCTACTGACTGGTGAGGAGCTGAGTCAGCTGGGAGGAGCTCAGAGTAGAGCCCCCACACTGAGAGGAGCCAGTTGAGGTGGTTCAGGCGTCTGATCAGGACACCCACTGGACGCCTCCCGGTGGGGGTTTACCAGGCACGGCCATAGATGTACATACCTAGATGCTGCGTTGGGTCCAGACAGGCATGTCAACGGCGCCACTATCTTAGGGTGGTCAAAATCGCTGCTGGACTGCATTCAGTACCATTACAGAGCGGCAGTTTAATAAAGATACTGTCCAAAATTACACTATTTCAGGAATATCACTCTCAGAAAGAGGGACAGGATTATATAACGGAGGGAACGCAGTGATCCACACTCATGTCTGTGTGATGTGTGTTGTCTGTGTGGTTAATGAGGCACAGAGAACCTGTTGATGTGATTGTTTTTCCTCTGGTTTTATTTGAAGCTCATTTCATTTAATAGTCTATTCAGGATCTTAACTTTATGTAGTAGTTATTTATTTACAGTGATGGTTAAAGCTTTGTAGCGGTAAATTACAGCATTCCTTAATCTGTGTAGATATTCATCATAGATTAGCTTTATTTTATTTTTATGTGTATAAAGACTAGAAGTGATTCACTCATTGATGGATTTGCTGATGTGTCTGATTGTGTTTCTCACACTAAACTCGGTTTTTAATGTCAGGTCCAGACTGAATACTCTCCTGCTGGTCTGGACGGCTAAATATCACGATCAGTTATTAAAGTAATAAAAGTTACCGAGAGCAGATCCGAGCAGCCTGGATTAATCTGTGTCTGAGGATTATAACTAGACAGATTTGGTGAAAATCGGTTGAGTAATAAGGAAGTTGTGGCTGATTTAATCCTGAGACTCTTCAGTCTCTCAGTACAAGTGAATCTGTTCACAAGCGGATCTTGACCTCTCCAACATGGCGGACGCGCAGACGCATCGCCTCAGATAGAGAACAGACAACGCGGCATCTAAGTATGCAAATCTAAGGGCACGGCCTACTGGGACGACCCTGGGATTCTCTGCTCTCCCAACTGCCACCGTGACCCTATCTGACCCTGACCCTAACTTTCTTTATCTGGATAAAAAAAGTAAATTAAAATGCACAGGAGCTGATTGGCGAGAGAAAAACAAAGAAAAAAGAAAAAGAAGAATCTCCTGCCCTTTGGTTACGTACAAGTGTTCAGTTTCATCGACACTTGAGTAAATGTAAAACGCTGAGCTGCACCAACCCGACAAGAAGCTTTTATTTGTTTAAACATTTTCTTTTTACTTTTACGCTCCTGAGTGTGTTTAAGTGATACAGAAGTCGCGCAGCTTCTTTCTGAAACGCAAGCGCACCTCTCCTGCTCCTCCTGCTCCTTGTGGACTCGAGCCAGACGCCGTCTCTCCGCTAACAGACGAGACGCCTCCTCCGCGTCTGTCGTCCCAGCAACAGCCTTCCCAGTAGGGGCCGAAGGTGAACGATCTGAGAAATGGCAAACGGGCAAAAGCAGACGTAATAAAGTGTTATTAAAGTCCAGTTTGGTAGAGAAAATGGACGTGATGTAACGGAGAGAAGGCTGGAATAGAACAGGCTGGACTGTACAGAACAGCCGAGACTCAGCTGTGACACTTTAAACATGGTCTTCTGATTTCATAAGAAGAAGTTTTACCTCCTCACCTTCATCAGAAGGTAACCGCCATATAAAGCAGCAGACAGGGCTGTCACCATGGTAAAATTAGAGCTGACCATTCATGCATTTTTAATGTTTATGGATTAATGTATGCATTAGGAACCCTGCCTTCATCAGTGAGAAGTGTTGCTGGTTTTACTCTCGAATATCCAAATTAGTCAGAACACAATTGTTTTAAAACTGAAATTCATGCAGACACATTGTACATTTTATACTTGGTGAATATGTTGGAAAACAAAGTGTCTGCATCTGATTTCAACCTTAAACAAATAAATTTGTTTTATTTTAAAAAATAGCACATTGTTATATGTTGTATATAATAATAAATGGTCATATGTAATTATAAGGTCATGTGTCACTGCTGTCAGAGCAAAACTATGTTTTTCAGTTTTTGAGGTAATTTGAAAATGCCTGTTCTTCTTTACGTTGTGTGTAAATTTCATGATGAATGGACCAAAAGAAACGGCCCAAAATGACTTGGATAAAAGTCTGGTTCCACTGACTTACATTAACACTAAAGTATGTTTTTTCCTTCTCCTGTAAAGTTCTCATTTTCGAGGTTTTGTTCCAACAGCAGAGATATAATATATGGTTATATATTCACAGCAGTAGAATTAGATCATAATATTTAAATACGTTATACTGAATGAACACACGATGATTTGAGCAGATCGACTGACCTGTGCTCTTCTCCGCAGTGACATCGTGAGTGCTGTTCTTCGGGCTCCGGTTCTCCGCCGTTCCCATGTTTTTCTTTTCATGGTTTTCCGCTCCCGGACTCTTCTGTCCGCTGTTTCCCGCTTTAACAGCGCTGTTGTGGTTTTCTGATTGTTTACAGCTTCGTTTCTCTGGGGTCCACGAGCCGGACACTGCTCTAGCCTGGCTCTCCGTTTTCCCCGCGGGGCCTGGGCTCTCAGAGATGGGGCTTTTTTTTGGAGCTTCATCCGCTTTCAGGAGCTTTTTATCTGCATGATCATGACCTTTGACCTCTTGGCCTTGTGTGTTGTTGGTGGTCTTGTTGCCGTCAGTGACGGGCGTGGCCGGTCTGTGTCTCAGAGGGGACGGTGGGTATTGACGGACAGTTACAGGAGATTGATTACGGCTCCGAGGAGTCAACCTACACAAACACACGAGTCAGTTAAAGCGACAGCAGCGTTTCCTCTACAGTAGTACAAAAGCTCCCCTCCCGGCCAGCTTGGGTCAGATACAGACGTTAGGATGTAAGAGGCAGGCTAAGGTCTACTTCCTAGCTTTCGTTTTTAATGTGAGGAACTAGGCAGGCAAATACAACAATTCGGACATTTTGTGGGCGTGTCGTGGGGCGTCCCAGAAGCCATATCGCCGATCTTCGATTATGTCTCACTACAAGACTCGTTCATTGTTTTCAACGCTTATATTCAGGCCAGACATGAGAAATTTGTCGGCTACAACAAAATCATATCAAAATCGGGCTGAACCTCGGCATCAGGGATGTTGTACATGGGTATCAGTGAATTTATGCAGGCTGGAGGCTGTAAATCTCAGAGTCACTGTCTCTAAAGGTTTACATGCAGACTTTTATCTATAGACATGAACATCAACACCGGCAGGAATCATTCTAAACATTCATCTGCAGTAAAACTGGTTTGTACTGTTGAAAACACTCCACACGCTGCAGTAGTGTAGGTGTAACTTTGGGCTGTAGTGTAGGAATATGTGGGAGGTTACTTTGGTGTTGAGGGTGAAGCGGAGCGGCGGATGATTTGAGCTGGAGATTCGGGTCGTCTCACGGGAGATCCTGCAGCCGGAGAACCGAGCCGCCTCTCTCTGCGCAAACTCTCCTTCTGCAAAACAAACACACACACACACACACACACACACACACACACACAGAGAAACACACACACACACACAAATTCACTGTGCTGGATCAGTCACATCTGATCAAATTCATTTCCACTGAATTTTAGTTTCTCTCTCCAGGCTCTGCCACAAATGCGCTCATTCATAGTTACTGTTGTGAGGTTGGATAATCTTTACAAAATCCTATTCACTGTAATGAATCAATTACTTACGATGGCGTTTTAGGGCCACTGTTAAAAAAATAAAAAAACAGTACAACCCCAATTCCAAAAAACTTGTGACACTGTGTAAAATGTAAATAAATGTAAATAAAATAGAATGCAATGATTTACAAATCTCATAGACCCATATTTTATTCACAATAGAACGTAGAACTTTCGAGAATAAAGGAGGAGTGAGTGGAACACTGGCGCCAGATCGGTGCCTCCTTCCTTGAGGCCCCGACGCGTTATAGCAGCCCCCTGCAATTAGCCCACTTTATCCTCCAAATATCACGATATTATTTGTTTGTGTAACTTTACAAATTTTGTTCTCAAAATATGATTTTTTTCTAAAAAAATACAACTTTATTCTTGAAATATTACGACTTTATTCTCAGTCTATTATTTTAATTTTTTTAACAGTGGCCCTAAATCGCCATCGTAATTATTTAATACACATTTCACCCATTTATATTTAGAGGTCTCACGGGATCCCAGCGATAGGAGGCACTGACAGAAAGAGGGAGAAATCAGAGTCAGGAAAAACCTCAGAAAAACTAAACATGATAGCAGCTCAGCTACAACAAGGAGCTACACACATCAGAATCACACATTCTCTGCACAGAACACGTTCGATTTCGGCTTCCTGTCACTCTATTTTTGCTCTCTCGAACATTTTTATCACCTAAATTTGTGTCAACAGAGCATCAACCTTCAGAATCAAGCCTGTACTGTGGTGGGTGGCACTGTTTGGGTCTGTAGCTGCTCGCTAAGCTAACGCTAAGGTAGCATATCAAGCTAATGATCCCAACACCACAGAACAGGTTTAATTTCACCTTTCTACCCTTTCAGGGGCTTCTTGACTCACTCTCTCACATTTAATCTAATCTCCCTCAGAATTTAATCCTCTAAACTTGTGTCAGTGCTTTAGTGCTCACTGTGTATCACTGTTTAGTTAGATGGTTTCACATGGCTCTAAATGTAGATATTGTGATATAAACTGAGTCTGTTCTACAGTTTCTCATTAGGCTGAATGAATAACCGACTCTAAATGTAGGTATTGTGATATAAACTGAGTGTGTTCTACAGTTTCTCATTAGGCTGAATGAATAACCGACTCTAAATGTAGGTATTGTGATATAAACTGAGTGTGTTCTACAGTTTCTCATTAGGCTGAATGAATAACCGACTCTAAATGTAGGTATTGTGATATAAACTGAGTCTGTTCTACAGTTTCTCATCAGGCTGAATGAATAACCGACTCTAAATGTAGGTATTGTGATATAAACTGAGTCTGTTCTACAGTTTCTCATTAGGTTCTGTAAAGCTTGTCCATCCTCACAACAGTTGCTATAAAAGAAGACAGAGCACGGATAGGTCAGCTGACCTCTCCTGACCTTTGGGGTGCTGGGAGGGGTGTTGACCCCTCCTCCCGACTCCTCGGTGTTGCCACGGCGACGGCTGGGCGACCCACGGTACGGTGACCTGTGGGGACTGGAGGGAACTGAACAGGAGGAGACATGAAACACTTCGGGGTCAGAGACTGAACGCTCGTTATTTCAGGTTAGTGTGTGTTTCAGGTGCACGAGTGACATTCAGAGGCAGGAAGAGTGTGTGAGTGAGGTCAGTGAGAATTTAAACATGCAGGACATTACACACACATACACACCTCACAACGCGGGAATAACAACACAGAACAGCCACACTCTCTGAGTTATTATTATAACTAATTATTTATCTAAATTTCTAATCAAAACAACCTTTAAGTACAAGCTGTTCATTTTCAGGAGATATTTCTGAGGAGATTAGATTGAGATAATCCACTTACATAAGGAAGCATGAAGTTAAAGTGAAAAAACTGATTAAAGCTACACTGAAAAAGGGGCTCCTAAACAACCAACTGGAAGACCTGGCGGAGACCAAAACTGCCCCCAGTAGATAAACAAACTTCAAACTCAAATTTCACCCATTTTTTTCAGAATTCCCCCAAAATTCAGTGTGTGAGATGTAAACAGAGATATTCAGAGTGGTTTGGTGTGAAATGGCTCAGATGTCTTTACAGTGGTGGTGATAGGAACCAGGGGTCGCCATGACTACAACACAAATATAGACATTTTATTTACTATCCAGAACCACCAGTGAACCTACACGAGTCTTCTGAGTTTATATGGAATGTTGATGATGGAAAATAGTGGAAAATCTGAAATAATAAGTTTTCTTTGGGGACTATTTTGCCTCACAGTGCCCTGCATGTATCCCTCCACCATGAATGGAGTTTAAGATCTCTAAACTATCATAAAACAGTGTCTCAGTCATCAGGCAGTGAATTCATAACCATTTCATGTAGGAACTTTCTGTGAGGGAGCTTTTAGAGGTGGACGTCTGGTTCCTATCACCACCACTGTGAACAGTTCTGACTCGGGAAGATTATCTAGAACGGAGCGTTTCACACCAAACCACTCTGAACGGCTCTGTTTACATTATTTACAACAAATGAAGTATACAGATTTTTTTTAAATCAGTTGAACTCCCCTTTAAAGCTTTCATCTCTGAGAGAGAGGAGAAAATCAAGCTGCTTCAGATCTGAAAACATCCACAGGTGTTTCTGTCCATCCTTCCACTGTGAGAAGACGACTCAGCGCTGTGGGTCTGAAAGGATGTGTAGCTGATCAAGAAGAACCTCACTGAGAAAAGGAGACGGACACATCAAACAAAGAAGCTGAGCAATGGACTGACCACCCCAGAGTCCAGACCTCAACACCTGAATGTGTTTGATTACTTCAGAAAATCATCAACCAGCTTCTAAGACTGAACTTTGGAGGTGTGTCTGCAGATTCTTTGAGGAACTGAAAGTGAGTCTCCTAAAAAGAGCGGAAGCTGGAATAAAGGGAAAGAGTGACTCACTGAACACTCAAACAGCTGAGATTAGATTTAGCTGCTGAGGATTCTGTTTTTCTTTTATTTAATAAAGCTGAAAAATGAATAACTTGTACTTAATGGCTGTTTTATTGAACAGTACTGTGTAGAGCAGATATGGGAGATCATTATTATACACAGGTTCTTGAGTGTGTGTGTGTGTATATGTGTGTGTGTGTGTGTGTGTGTGTGTGTGTGTGTGTGTGTGTGTGTGTGTGTGTGTTACCTGTGCAGCGTGGACAGGACACACACAGGTCAGCGGCGCTGTTAGAGCGGGCGAGTGAGGAGTGAGTGTGTGTGCGGAGGCGATGGAGCGTCAGATTCTCCAGAGAAATCACACCATGCTGGACTAACGGAGGGATGGATGGACGGAGAGATGGACGATGGAGGGATGAAGGGGGTGGGGATGGTGGGGGAGGATGGAGATAAACATGAAAGAAAAGCCATGAGGGCAACAGGATGGAGGGATGAAGGAGGAAAGACGAGTGTGGCCTCTTTTCCCTCTGATGCACTGCAGTGCTTTGTCTTCAGAAAAGTGGCAGAAATGAACAGAAATTCAGTCCATAGATACAGAACACACGATGATGATGAGGATGAAGAAGATGGCCATGAAGAACAGACACAGTAACAGAACAGGCAGTGCAGGTGTTTGTATGTAGATCTTCTTGGTTCATTCGTTTTTAATGTATTTTTTTAATTCAGTGATTTTAGTGTGTAATAAAATTAGAGTGTATTAAAATTCAACAAAGATCTTCTGTGATTCAGTGCGACTCACGGATTCTGTTTAGTTGTAACTGGTTATCTAGAGCCAGAACACTGTAACACTACTGACGTTGCTGTGATGTGCTGAAGCGCTGACAGATTATAATCTCAGACGTTTTAAAGGTTTTTTGCCTCATTGTTTTGAGTGTATTTTCACTCAGTAAGGGGGTGTGGTGAGTAGGGTAATCACAGAAACAGGCATAGTGTTACCATGGATACAGCTGTAGTGTAACCATGGAATTGGGTGCAGTGCAATAATGGAAATGACTGTAGTGTAACCATGAAAATGAATGTAGCGTGGAAAAACCGTGGAAAAGGATGTAGGGTTCTGGAATGATGGATTCGGGTGTAGTGTAACCATGAAAATGGGTGTTGCATAACCATGGATGCAGGAGTAGCACTACCATGGAAAAAGGTGTATTGTAGCCAAGGAAATGGATGTAGTGTAACCATGGATACGTGTGTAGTGTAAAAATGTAAATGACTGTAGTGGAACCGTGGAAATAGATGTAGCACAAACACAGAATCAGGTGTAGCGTAACCATGGATCTGTATGTAGTGTAACTATGGAAACGACTGTGGCGTAACCATGGATACGGATGTAGTATTACCATGGGAAAGCGTGTATTGTAACTGAGGAAATGAATGTGCCGTAACCATGGACATGGCTGTAGCATTACCATGGAAAAGGGTGTAGCTTACCCATGGATATGTGTGTCGTGTAACCATGGACATAGGTGTAGTGTAATCATGGGAACAGGAGTAGTGTAACAACAGAAACGGATGTAGTGTATCCATGGAAACGGGTAAAACATAACAATGGATCACGTATCCATGATTACATATCACCCATTTCCATTAATACTGTGCAACCATGGAAATGTGTGTAGCGTAACCATGGAAACTGATGTAGTGTAACAACGGAAACGGGTGTAGCTCATTGATTTCTGTGTCAGTGTCGTTGTCAGTGTCGGTGTAGTTGTTCTTTAGATGGATGCTGATGTTAGAGTTCTATCAACTGGACTGTGAGAGCTGGGCGGTAGAAGTAGACCTGCACTGTTTACACACAAATCTAGACCAGTATGGAAGAGCAGATGTGGGGTGAGGGTTCGTCCCCATCCCTGCAGAAATGACACTTCTGTGTGTGAGTCCTTAAACACATCTAAATTGATGTCTTCCTGTTCTGTAAAGCTCATTTTACTCCAGACTCAGTAACTGCGCTGCACTGCACCCTTTCAAACAGCTAACAGCTAATCAAGTGCCGTCTATATAAAAATGATTTAATTTGTACAGATGTCAGCAGGTTATATGAAACTGAACCTATTATGCTCAGATTTACACTTCAATGTTCCAAAAAAACACATTATTTTCCTCATCCTGTTCATCTCTATTCACCCTCTGACTGAAACGCTCTGTTAGAGCTCCTGCGTCTTTAAGCCCCGCCTCCCAATGAGCCCACTGTGCTTTGATTGGTCAGCTCGCCCACTCTGTTCTGACTTTTCAGTGGCTGAAACTGGTAGCAGCATCCTGCTACAAGTTTCGCCCCTACAGGCTGCCAGTAAGGACTGTGTTACGAGACTGAGTCATCCTGTAACAAAGGAAAAGGGCTGGAATTCCAACGAGGCGTTTCAGGCAGCTGAGAAAAGTGGGTTCTGTGGGAGAGAGTTTCTCCCTCTGGAGGGAACTTTGGGTTCTGTTGCTTTGTAGACTATTTACATGGACAGAAAGTTGCAACACGCTAAAGGAAAGAGAAAAACTGGAGAAGGAAAATAACTTTAACTTAACTGTACTAACTTATTTATTGCTGAATACAACAAATGAGAACAGAAAACACTTTTGCATCCCGTGTGAAATAGCGAATGTCGTGTACCAGTTCAGGCTTGCCGTGCACGCCGCGTCACGTCTGGTGTAAAATCAGCTTATGTTGGTTACCAGAAAGGTCCCACACAAAAAACACACTCAGAAACATTTCATCACAAACAAAACTGTGACTTTGCGTATGTTGAATATTCAGAAACACATCAGTAATCTTACCTGATATCACACTCATAACAAACAACAAACCACCACAGAGTACACACGCAGCACACACACTGACATGCTGTTACAGACACACACACACACACACACACACACAGACAAGGCCATGCAGAAGGAAACACACTCAGTCTGGGGGCGTTTACAGTCTGACGAGTGTGTTTCTCTGTTTTACTGCAGCTCAGCCGGACACACAGATTCCTCAAACTCCCCAACAGCCCGATCTCCATCTCTACACACATCACACATCAGCTCTGATATCACAGCACCTGCTGGAGCTCCTCTACCAATCACAGCACCAGCTGGAGCTCCTCTACCAATCACAGCACCCACTGTAGCTCCTCTACCAATCACTGCACCAGCTGGAGCTCCTCTACCAATCACAACACCTGCAGGAGCTCCTCTACCAATCACAACACCTGCAGAAGCTCCTCTACCAATCACAGCACCAGCTGGAGCTCCTCTACCAATCACAGCACCTGCCGCAGCTTCTCTACGAATCACAGCACCAGCTGGAGCTCCTCTACTCCTCTACCAAAACGATTTATAAAAACCTAACTTACATTAAAACCCTACTTTAATCAGAAACTCTACAGAATCGTTAAAGTTTACTGAAATTAGACACTAAAACTAAATATTCCTCAAAGCAGACTGAAATTAAAAACTAAAATTATAAAATCTGTATAATCATCAAACGTTTTCTAAAATAGTCACTCAAATAAAAAAAAGTCTGGATACGGGAAATTAAAACTTAAAAACACTGAATCAGAAGAACTTTCTAAAAAAAAAAACTACCTGCTCAGACAAACTATACGAAAAAACTATTTACTCAAAAAATGCTGACACTGAAAACTCCACCGAATCGAGAGGCTGTAGTGAATCATACCACTTTATTGAAATTTGAAACTCCACAGGAATTCTGCAGTTTACTGAAATGAAAAATTCCACAGAATCAAAAAACTCTTTTTTTAAATTCCCCCCTAAAGTGCACCAACACACACTTCATCAATGTCTGTTAGTCGATGACGTCATCTGAAGGTTCCTGCTGTTGCCACACCTGGAAAGCAAGTAAACTCAATCTTGAACGACAGCCATCAAAGACAGTGTGTAAAGGGGAATTCAACCAAAATTTCAGTTTAATTTGCTAATTGAGAACTCGTTAAATAAGTTTTTCTGAAATTTATAACAATGGGTGGAATTCCCCTTTATGTGTTTCATGTGGAAGGAGACAGCAGGAGAAGCAGCTGTTGAGGAGCATCGGCACGTCATTGGAGGAACTGTGTGTCAGTCAGAGGGGAGGGGAGGGGTGGTTTAGAGGGGGCGGGGTTTAAAGGGTTCATACCGTTGCCTGATTCGCTGGCAGTAGCAGAGGGGGCGGCGAGGTCATGGGGGAGGGCGGAGACAGCAGAAGGGGGAAAGGCATTCTCCCAGTCACCTGGGCAAGGGGGGCGGGGCCAGAGCAGAGCAGAGAGAGCAGAGCATTATGGACAGGCTGACTCCTCAGGTGGAGTGTGTGTGATTGAACACATACACACGTCTTAGAGCCACGACACACCAAGCTGAGCGCATGTAAGTGCATTGAAAGAGAATCAAAGAGAGCTCAGTCTAAACCCGGTGAAGGAGCGTCTCTGAGGATGTGAGTGAATTATCTACTACTGTCATCATATCTTCATCAGTGTGATGTTGATTCTGAGATCATTTGAGGCCGAAACATCAAGCCGGACCTTCTTTTAGAGTCTGTGTGTGACGTTAATACATAAAGACGTACGACGTGGTGTGAAAAACTCACGATTCGACGTTTAAATGATGATTTCAGGCTTTACAGGCGACTCTCAGCAGTGCAGACTCACCATATTTTAGTGTGCTTATATTCTCCTAACTTAGTACTGATACTTTGGTAGCACTACAGATCGGTAATTAGTGGGTAATGATATGATAACATTACAGTAACTTACCTAAAAAATACCTGCTAATTTGCCAGTTCTTAAAAAATAATAAGTTAGTCATTGTAGCTAATAAGTAATAAATGGGAAAATAATGGCAACAAACTCGCATTACCTATAAATAAAAGGTTAATTGAATATTTGCAAAATAATTCATTAATATCTTTTACAGTAAATAATTTTACTAAATAATTAGCCTGTCGCTGTATAGCATTATATCTGCTAAATCAACATTTTATCCCGATTATTTAACATCCTAATAGCCTTTTATAACATCAACATAAATAATACTTCATATAACTTAGTATTTAACAACTAGAAAATTAGCGTGTTATTTTCACTATTTTAGTTAATTATTTGATTACTGACTCTTTACCATGACTATTAGTAACTTATTAGTTGATAACAACTAGACGATTAGCATGTATTCGCAGGCAAATATAACTTCATAATTTTACTACTCACTACCAACTTATTACTGATCTGAAAAGTGAAGTGCCACAAATACTTCTTTCACTTTTAGCAACATAAATCTTCCATAGTGCAGCTTTAGGTATGTGCATATCTGCCGTAGTCTTCTGGTGCTGATGGTGAGCTGAAGGTGTAATCAGGTGCTGATAGTTCTTCCTCGTGAGGTTGGTGTGTCTGGGCCCTAAAACACACCTCGAGGTATTTTCGTGCACACCTGAGCTCGGTGGCCGCAGGCAATGGGCAAGGATGAGGACTCATACAGACACGCTCCCTTTAAAACTCATTCACACACACACACACTCAGATACACCAGCTCATAATCAATACCCTAATCAATCAGTCCGCTCAGACTCTCGGCTGAAGAGCGAGTGTAAAACGCTGACTCACCCTCACACACATACAGTGACACTGCAATATCGTTTTTTTAGCCTGTACAGGCTTTAAATACTCGCTGGTAATTCTGAACAAATACTAAAATATTCATTCTCAAAATCAGCCTCAAAACAATAACTTTTAATTGAACAATATTTAATATCATTTAATAATAGTCAAGCATGTCTGTTGCTGCAGCTCAAAATATATCCAGTTTGTGGCAAAAACGTAATATTATTCAGACTGAAGCAAAGACAGAATCCACAAACGCTGCCCTCTCACTGAAGTACAGACTTCATGACTCACTTTGATCACTTGTTTATTTCTCGTTTACCTAGTCATAGACGGGTTTAGCTCGGTCATAGACATGTTTAGCTCAGTCATAGACGGGTTTAGCTCAGTCATAGTCGTGTTTAGCTCGGTCATAGACATGTTTAGCTCGGTCATAGACGTGTTTAGCTCGGTCATAGACGGGTTTAGCTCAGTCATAGTCGTGTTTAGCTCGGTCATAGACATGTTTAGCTCGGTCATAGACGTGTTTAGCTCGGTCATAGACGGGTTTAGCTCAGTCATAGTCGTGTTTAGCTCGGTCATAGACGTGTTTAGCTCGGTCATAGACGGGTTTAGCTCGGTCATAGACGGGTTTAGCTCAGTCATAGTCGTGTTTAGCTCGGTCATAGCTGGGTTTAGCTCGGTCATAGACGTGTTTAGCTCGGTCATAGACGGGTTTAGCTCGGTCATAGACGGGTTTAGCTGAGTCATAGACATGTTTAGCTCAATCACAGCCGTGTTGAGCTCAGTCATAGACGGGTTTAGCTCGGTCGTAGACGGGTTTAGCTCGGTCGTAGACGGGTTTAGGTCGGTCATAGACGTGTTGAGCTCGGTCATAGACGGGTTTAGCTCGGTCATAGACGTGTCTAGCTAGGTCATAGACGGGTTTAGCTCAGTCATAGCAGTGTTGAGCTCGGTCATAGACGGGTTTAGCTCGTCATAGCCGTGTTTAGCTCGGTCATAGCCGTGTTGAGCTCGGTCATAGACGGGTTTAGCTCGGTCATAGCCGTGTTGAGCTCGGTCATAGACGGGTTTAGCTCGGTCATAGCCGTGTTTAGCTCGGTCATAGACATGTTTAGCTCGGTCATAGACGGGTTTAGCTCGGTCATAGACGGGTTTAGCTCGGTCATAGGCGGGTTTAGCTCAGTCATAGATGTGTTTAGCTCGGTCATAGCCGTGTTTAGCTCGGTCATAGACGGGTTTAGCTCGGTCATAGACGGGTTTAGCTCGGTCATAGATGTGTTTAGCTCGGTCATAGCCGTGTTTAGCTCGGTCATAGGCGGGTTTAGCTCGGTCATAGACGGGTTTAGCTCGGTCATAGGCGGGTTTAGCTCGGTCATAGACGGGTTTAGCTCGGTCATAGACGTGTTTAGCTCGGTCATAGACGGGTTTAGCTCGGTCATAGCCGTGTTGAGCTCGGTCATAGACGGGTTTAGCTCGGTCATAGCCGTGTTGAGCTCGGTCATAGACGGGTTTAGCTCGGTCATAGCCGTGTTTAGCTCGGTCATAGCCGTGTTGAGCTCGGTCATAGACGGGTTTAGCTCGGTCATAGCCGTGTTGAGGTCGGTCATAGACGGGTTTAGCTCAGTCATAGCCGTGTTGAGCTCGGTCATAGTCGTGTTTAGCTCGGTCATAGACATGTTTAGCTCGGTCATAGACGGGTTTAGCTCAGTCATAGATGTGTTTAGGTCGGTCATAGCCGTGTTTAGCTCGGTCATAGACGGGTTTAGCTCGGTCATAGACGGGTTTAGCTCGGTCATAGACGTGTTTAGCTCGGTCATAGTCGTGTTTAGCTCGGTCATAGACGGGTTTAGCTCGGTCATAGACGGGTTTAGCTCGGTCATAGTCGTGTTTAGCTCGGTCATAGACGGGTTTAGCTCGGTCATAGATGTGTTTAGCTCGGTCATAGCCGTGTTTAGCTCGGTCATAGACGGGTTTAGCTCGGTCATAGACGGGTTTAGCTCAGTCATAGATGTGTTTAGCTCGGTCATAGCCGTGTTTAGCTCGGTCATAGACGGGTTTAGCTCGGTCATAGACGGGTTTAGCTCGGTCATAGATGTGTTTAGCTCGGTCATAGCCGTGTTTAGCTCGGTCATAGGCGGGTTTAGCTCGGTCATAGACGGGTTTAGCTCGGTCATAGGCGGGTTTAGCTCGGTCATAGACGGGTTTAGCTCGGTCATAGACGTGTTTAGCTCGGTCATAGACGGGTTTAGCTCGGTCATAGCCGTGTTGAGCTCGGTCATAGACGGGTTTAGCTCGGTCATAGCCGTGTTGAGCTCGGTCATAGACGGGTTTAGCTCGGTCATAGCCGTGTTTAGCTCGGTCATAGCCGTGTTGAGCTCGGTCATAGACGGGTTTAGCTCGGTCATAGCCGTGTTGAGGTCGGTCATAGACGGGTTTAGCTCAGTCATAGCCGTGTTGAGCTCGGTCATAGTCGTGTTTAGCTCGGTCATAGACATGTTTAGCTCGGTCATAGACGGGTTTAGCTCAGTCATAGATGTGTTTAGGTCGGTCATAGCCGTGTTTAGCTCGGTCATAGACGGGTTTAGCTCAGTCATAGATGTGTTGAGCTCGGTCATAGACGGGTTTAGCTCGGTCATAGACGGGTTTAGCTCGGTCATAGATGTGTTTAGCTCGGTCATAGCCGTGTTTAGCTCGGTCATAGGCGGGTTTAGCTCGGTCATAGACGGGTTTAGCTCGGTCATAGACGGGTTTAGCTCGGTCATAGACGTGTTTAGCTCAGTCATAGACGGGTTTAGCTCGGTCATAGCTGGATTTAGCTCGGTCATAGACGGGTTTAGCTCGGTCATAGACGGGTTTAGCTCAGTCATAGACGTGTTGAGCTGTCTTTATTTCAACAACTGGAAGCAGCTGCACACAGCACTTCAATATGACACTAATACAGTAACTAAGACCATTTTCATTCATATAAACCCTGATTTCACCGTCAGTGTAAATGTTCTCTAACCTCCACCCACAAATGTGTTCTTTAGCTAGTGTTGTGGGGATGGAGCTTTACAAAGCATTGGGAATTCAACCCAATGAATTTAGTTAGGAATTTAGATGCCTTTAATCATGGAAGGATTACATAGATCTACAGGGCTGTTGGTGCAGTTGGCTGTGGCTTACTCTGCCAAACACTGCCTCGATAAGAAAGCACAGGCTGCCAAACCTCTCAGCACCACTCGGCAAATAGTGATCCTCCATTTCTGTCATGATTGATCACTCTGCTCTTGTTCTTCCACGCACTTCTCATCTCCTCAATCCTTTCATTCGCCTCAATCCGTATAAACAATTATCCGCTGTTCCTTTATCTCTCTCTCAGTCTCTCTCTCTCTCTCTCTCTCTCTCTCTTTACTCACCCTGTCCTCCTCCGCTGGCTCCCCATGTCCAGCGTTTGTTTCTGTTCTCCAGCTGCAGGCTGCGCTCCAGAGATTTCCTCATCAGCGCCTCCAGACGCTCCTGTGGAAAAACATTCTTTCGTTTATTATCTTCATCAAAAATCCTGGGTTAGATATACATACAAGCCAACTGTGCCTTGATGCGCTGCAAACTGGGCCCACAATGCGCTGATAGCTTGGCTCGTTTTTCACATGAGGCGATATCTGTCCTGTTTCGCCTGTGCGCAGCGCTGCACAGTGACTGAATCTCACATAAATCACCACCACCAGCAGTCTGAGCACATGAGGGTGAGTAAGTCTAATAAAACAGAAAGTGGAAAACAAATCTAAGTGTGACAGAATTATGATCCTAGATTTCCAGTATCCCAGACTTACACAGCCACGTACCTCTAAAACTGAAAAATCTAATTTTGTGCAGGTAAACATAACACAGACTGTAGTCCATCTGTTTCTCTGATACTTTGTTTGCCCCCTTTTACCCTGTTCTTCAGTGGTCAGGACCCCCATGGACCCTCACAGAGCAGGTACTATTTGGGTGGTGGATCATTCTCAGCACTGCAGTAACACTGACGTGGTGGTGGTGTGTAAGTGTGTGTTGTGCTGGTCTGAGTGGATCAGACACAGCAGTGCAGCTGGAGTTTTTAAACACCTCAGTGTCACTGCTGGACTGAGAATAGTCCACCACCCAAAAATATCCAGCCAACAGCGTCCTTTGGGCAGCGTCCTGTGACCACCGATGAAGGATTAGAGGATGACCAACACAAACTGTGCAGCAGCAGATGAGCTATCGTCTCTGACTTTACATCTACAAGGTGGACTGACAAGGTAGGAGTGTCTAATAGAGTGGACAGTGAGTGGACACAGTGTTTAAAAACTCCAGCAGCACTGCTGTGTCTGATCCACTCATACCAGCACAACACACACTAACACACTACTACCACGTCAGTGTTACTGCAGTGCTGAGAATGACCCACCACCCAAATAGTACCTGCTCTGTGGGTCCATGGGGGTCCTGACCACTGAAGAACAGGGTAAAAGAAACAGATGGACTACAGTCTGTAACTGTAGAACTACAAAGTGCACCTATATAGTAAGTGGAGCTGATAAAATGGACAATGAGCGTAGAAACAAGGAGGTGGTCAGAATGTTATGCCTGATCGGTGTAGTTTGCGAAATAAAGTTATTCTGATTGTGATCAGATGGAATAATTAGTAATTTTATTTCGTTTAACCTGGAGAGGTGTTGGGCTGAAACAAAATAATACTGTTTATATTCAGACGTGACTGAAATGGAAATGAAAACAGGTCACAGGGGAGACCGCCATCAGTGTTTACGTAACTCCTATTGACTTCAGTCTAGACTTGAACTGTCATCATTACACCACCTTAATGATGTCGCATGCTGACGCTCTGCCAGCAGTGTGGACGTCAGATAATCAATAATTAACCCCTGACCAGCTTCCTGTAGCTACACTCCATCCAGAGAGCTTCACACACACATTCAGTCTCTTACTGAGCTCACAGTGAAGTGTCTGTGTTCGTTTTTCTGCAGTCTGGATGACGTGCGTGAGCCGGACAGTGGGATTAGGACAGAGCAGGAAAGAAGCGAGTGATCAGAGAACAAATCCCCCTGATTGGAGGAGCAGCAGGGGTCAGCGGGGGTCAGCTAGACACACGGAGTAAAGTAGAGGATTGTAGGATTTCTGGGAGAAGTGAGACAAAGCCTGAAAAGACTAATTCTCCCAGCACTGCAGTGACTTTTCTCTTATGTTTTTACATAGTATTTCTGCAGGGGTCAGAATCTGCGCGTGATTAAAGGGCCCATATCGTGGAAAACTGAAACACAAGACTGCGATGTTGTATGTAAACATTGTTAAAGCTGCAAAACGTACCATATATGGAAACTCAACTGAAAAAAAAAAGCCTGTGATGTCACAAAACCAAAACCATATCTGCCTGTTCAGCTTACAGTGGTTCAGGCTGAAGGTATAAGGAGCATTTCTAGAAAAGCCTGGACTGCTTTTTGAAGGGGGCAGCCAATCAAAACATGTCTCATTTACATACATCAGTCTAAAAAGCGCAGCCTGTTTAAGTGTAAGGGATAAAGAGAGGTTGGAAAATGATCAAAGTAGGAATCAGATGTTTTGCTGCTGGATATTATTGATTTACGCTAATTATAAAGTGATTGTTATCATTTTATTTAGGTTATTCATTAGTTTGTGGGATTTTTCTAGACGTATGTGTCGTCCCATTCCCGCCCACACTGGGCTGCTAACCGCTCGCTTAAAATTAGCTCTGTGCTGCAAGATATTGTGGTGGGTCCCGTGGGAATGCAGACCTCTGGCAGAAATGGATTTGTAGTGTTTTTTGATTTGTTGTTCATCTAAACTAATTTTTCGCATTGCATTATTTATTTTATTCATTTCACACTCAGAAAAGCTGAAAAGCTAATGACCCAACCTCAGTCTGGAAAGGCCTCCAAGAGATCACCTACAACAAGGTGAGAAAACCTCCCTTCTCCTGAACGACCGCAGCTCACCAACAACCTGAATGAGTTACTGCAGATATGAACACACAAAGGACAATCTTCAGCCTCTCTCTGCTCACCTCACCATCAACGAGCAGGATGTTAACAGGCTTTTCAGCAGACAGAAGTTGAAAAAAGCTCTTTTATAGCACTTTTCACCTCCATCTTCAACAAATCACTTCAACGAATATCACTGGACTAACTGACTACAGACCATTAGCCCCCACCTTAGTAGTCACGAAGGTTTGAACGCCTGGTCCTAGCCCACCTAAAGGCCATTACAAACTCTCTGCTGGATCCCCTGCAGTTCGCATACAGAGCTAACAGGTCTGCTGACGATGTGGTCAGCTTGGCCCTGCACTTCATGCTACAGCATCTCAATAGTCCTGGAACCTTCGCTAGAGTTGACTTCAGCTTGGCTTTCAACACCACAGTGCCAGAGCTGCTGCAGGTCAACCTGTTTCATCTGCCGGTGCCACATCCCATCTGCCAGTGAATCATGGACCTCCTGACAAACAGGAGACAGCAGGTGCGGCTAGGAAAACACACATCAGACCCCTGGACCCTCAGTACTGGAGCACCAAAGGCTGGGTGCTCTCACTCCTTCAGTCTCTACACTAATGACTGTGTCTCTGAGGAACCAGCTGTGAAGATCCTGGAGTTTGGAGACGACACCACTGTGGTGGGCCTCATGGACAATGGCAATGATTCTGCCTACAAAGAAGAAGTCTGAACTGAACTTGAATTTTAAGGTCTGTATGTTTGTGCAGTGGAACGTCTGCAATTCAATTTCTAAAAAGCATTTCGTTTTTCTGTGAATTGAGATTTTTACATTCACTTTCAAACTAATATTGACAATGATGGTGATAACTCCATAGAACCGACAAACCATTTTTACAGAGCAAGGAATCCTTTTAGTTTGTTTGTTTGTTTGTTTTGTTGCTTTCCAACAACATATCATTGCTGCGAAAACCTCATTTGTCCATAAAATGTAACTTTACAGAAGAAAAACGCAACTTTTAATGTAAGTTAATATAACAAGATTTTACTTTGTCATTTTGGAGCATTTCTACTGGTCTAATTTCAAATTATAGAAAAATAAAAACGTCAGAAAATTGAGATATAAGGTTTAGTTCACAGCAATGTAATATTCGCTCATTTCATCATCCACCAGATATTTAAAAAGAAAAGTAAAAGAATTAGAACGAAGCTGTACAGGGCCGGTCTTACTGAACGCAGACGCTCCGACTCCCTCTGTCTCAGCTTTAAGCGCTCTGTGATCAGTGTTGTGGAAATGAAAGTGCAGTGTCAGATCCCTCGTTCTGAACGTCCTCTGATGAAACACCGCAGGCCTGTGTCGCTGCTGCTGCCCCGCAATCGATATTTAATCGCATTACAGCAACATCTAATGCAGCGCTGCAGTTCTGAGAGAAAACAGCGCTTCTGATCTAGAAAAACAAACGGATCGGAATCGCTCACAAAGAACGACTCGCTTTAGCTGAATGCTGCACCTGGACTGTTTACAAAACTCCCCGTTGCTATGGCAACTCCATCCCACATACAGCATTTTATTTTCAGCTGCGTTTAGCTGCACTGATAACGTCTTCAGTTCCCTCAGTGTGAGTGAGACCGAACTGTGTAGATAATCAGATCAGTAACACTGCTGGGCGATTAGAGGGAGATACAGTGGAACTGAGAAAGTGATGAGAGAGAGAGAGAGAGAGAGAGAGAGAGAGACAGAGAAGTAGTGTAACCACTGAAATGGGTGTTGTGTAACTATGGAAATGGGTGTAGCGTAGCCAAGGAAATGGGTGTAGTGTAACCATTGGAATGGGTGTAGTGTAACCATTGAGATGAGTGTAGTGTAACCATTGGAATGGGTGTAGCATAGCCATGGAAATGGGTGTAGCATAGCCATGGAAATGGGTGTAGTGTAACCATGGAAATGGGTGTAGCGTAACCAATGAAATGGGTGTAGCGTAACCATGGAAATGGGTGTTGCGTAACCATTGGAATGGGTATAGCATAACTATGGAAATGGGTGTAGCGTAACCATGGAAATGGGTGTAGTGTAACTATGGAAATGGGTGAAACGTGCCCTCAGTAGTAAATATGACTATGACTACATGTTGCCTAAATATCTGTTTTTCACGCTCCTGACCTTTTCCTCCTCCAGCTGCTGCCTCCTCTTCTCCTCCACGGCGGCTCTGCGCTGCTCCTCCTTCAGCCTCTGCTCCTCCAAACGCCTCCACCTCTCCTCCACCGTCCGCTCATACTGCAGCCGAGCACGACGCTCCTTCTCCATTATAGCCTGCTCCCTCGCCGCTGAGGTGGAGAGACAGAGAGAGAGAGAGAGAGAGAGAGAGAGAGAGAGAGACACTGACAAATTGCCATTTTCTGGCTCCGCCCCCAAATGTGTTCTTTCATATGTACAGTAGTGCAGCAGTGAATCTTGACTATTCGAGCTCAGCCTTCAGTTCAGGCCATAAACGTGAAAACCTGAGGAACTGCTACAATAATGCTAATTTCTGCTAGCGCCCCTATGGGATTCTAGAAGAATGTTAGCGCTAAGCTAACTACAGTTCACATGAACATGTTTCGGCAGTTCTAGATTAAACGCAGACATTTGGAGCCTGTAAAAGTCGTTCCATCTGTTTTATCTGAGGCTTGTAACAGACGTTATCGTATATCTGAGCTTGTGTGTATCAGTGTTACAGTCACTCTTACAGTAAGGAGTCCTGCACAGAGCTGCAGCCACTGTTTAACATTCCTAACAACTACCTGAAACACTACTTAGACTACAACTCGTATTCACAGCGGGTGACATATCTAGAACCTACAGAAGGACCAGCGTGACGTATTTGTCACAAAACTGGTGATTGGTTGATTCCTCTGCCACTTCCTAATTATGTTAATTAAGGCAAAAGCTGTATCGGTAAAGTCTGGATACTTGATAAGAGTGACAGCAAAAAACAATTGGCTCTCTTAGCACTGAACTGATGTTCACTTGATTTTTCACTAAACTATTGCTTTAAAGCAGGAGCTAGAAATATTTTTTGTTACATTTCTTGAAATACTCTTTACATCTTGATCTGGCAGAGAGGGTTACACAGCTACCTACAGCAGCTTTCTGTACCAAAGACAGAAAGAAAAGAAAGACAGAAGTAGAAAAGGCTTCGAACAGAAAGAGACTGGATAAGGCAACAGGTCAAAATGACCATTGGTGAACCTGAGGGAGCTGAAAGGGCTGGAAAGCGATGCAAAGGTTGATTTTCTGTTGGACCGGTAATTATCTGGTTTGTTTTGTTTATGGGGGCATTTATTTGGCTGTGTACTATCGCTAACCTTGTTGATGTTTTTAGCCTTGCCCAGTGTACAAAATACTTAGTGTATTCAGGGGGTCCCATGTTGGCTGGCTAGATTAGCAGTCAGCATTGGCTAACTGCTAACTCACCCATCATAGTGGCGCTGATGCTTCAATGTCAGTAAATGTTTGTTTTATCAGCTGTTCTTCTGTAGAGTCTCTGTTCTAGTGCGGTTCTGCGCTCTTCCTCACAGTAACTGAGATCTTCCTCGTCTCCTCTTCTGTAGAGTCTCTGTTCTAGTGCGGTTCTGCGCTCTTCCTCACATTAACTGAGATCTTCCTCGTCTCCTCTTCTGTAGAGTCTCTGTTCTAGTGCGGTTCTGCGCTCTTCCTCACAATAACTGAGATCTTCCTCGTCTCCTCTTCTGTAGAGTCTCTGTTCTAGTGCGGTTCTGCGCTCTTCCTCACATTAACTGAGATCTTCCTCGTCTCCTCTTCTGTAGAGTCTCTGTTCTAGTGCGGTTCTGCGCTCTTCCTCACATTAACTGAGATCTTCCTCGTCTCCTCTTCTGTAGAGTCTCTGTTCTAGTGCGGTTCTGCGCTCTTCCTCTCATTAACTGAGATCTTCCTCGTCTCCTCTTCTGTAGAGTCTCTGTTCTAGTGAGGTTCTGCGCTCTTCCTCACAGTAACTGAGATCTTCCTCGTCTCCTCTTCTGTCTTCAGTGTGAGAAATGAGGAACAGTCACTCTTCACTCCAAACTCTTGGGAAACTGGGCGAGTTTTCAGATTTATAGATCTGCTGCAGCTCATTGTAAAGTGTTTCAGAGGAATCTGGGCAGAGTTACAGTTTCTAGGCTATGAAGGACCAACTGGGTGAGTCAGTCTGCTGCAGCGCCACCTTGAGGCAGAGCAGTGCTGCAGCTCTAGTTAGTTAAGAACACCAGAGACAGAAGCTGATTGTGGGGGAAGCAGATAAACAATGAGCTTCATTGAATCTGTATGTGAGCGTCTATTTTACCCTAACAGACAGCATAACGTAATAATAAGTTCATTTTCAGGGACCCCCAGGATTTTGATTTTGAGACATTCAGGGGGTCCAGGACTTTCTGTATTTCGCACCTTGGCTTTGTCTGATATCCATCATTACCACAGCTAGATGTTCAAGCTAGCCAGCAATAGGTTACTGCATCAAACTCAATTTTTAATAATATTTCCCAATACTAACATACCAGCTTGACATGTGAGCACCAACAACAGCATTACGATAATGTTCTGTGTATTCTTACATATAAATGAAACACGAGGTCAGTGGATACAGCGTGCTCACCTCTCTCCAACGCTGACCAGTCTAGACAGACTGACTAGACTAGACTAGCTCAGTGGCTTTGGAAGGAGGGCTAAACAGAGTCCACTCAGCCTCAACCTTACCTTCTGGACATCCTCAGTGACCACCTCCTTTAACTCCTGCTCAGCTGAAAGAACCGGAGAGTGAAGAGAACAGTAAACTGTAAATGCACTTACCCAGACTCCTCTCTCTCTCCTCCCGCCTCTCCTTCGCCAGACGCATCCGGTCATCCGTCTTCAGATAGCCCTCCAGACCTGAGAGAGGAACAGCCAACAGGAACGCGAGGATGAGGACGGTGTGGGTGGAGATTCATAGGACTGAATTTTGAAATTATACTTTCACAATAGCTGCTACTTTTGCTTTCAGCCATGTACTTTTTAAAAGCATGTACTTTTTTTAGCCATGTACTTTTAGCTACGTATATTTGTAACTATGTACTTTTAACTATGGACTTTTCTAGTCATGTACTTTTTAAATTATGTACCTTTGTCTATGTACACTTTACCTATGTACTTTTAACTGTGTACTTTTACCTATTTAGTTTTTTTTTCTATTTTTAGACATGAAGCACCTCATAGACCTGGCTTGTAACTCACTCAGTCACTCACTCATGTTTAGCAGTTTAAACATCCTCCACTAGGGGGTGCTATTGGCACACAAATAGCTTTCATAAGAACAGTGTATCATATACAGGTTGGCCTTGTTAAAGACTTTATCATACCAGGGTTATTATAGTTATTGTTTGTTTTAATGTGGTGTTTAAATTTGGTTTTGGTTTGGATGCACTAGAATTGCTCTCGTTCAGAGATCGTTGCTGCTGTCTAATCAGAGTAACAGTAAAACACGACTCATGTGTGACTTACATTCCTATGCATGTATTTTCTTGTTCAAAACGTTCAAAGTAGTTTGTGACACTAAATATGTTTTGCTTTGTTGCATCATTTTCTTTACATATTAAATAAACCCAACAACAGCATTCAGACACCATGCTATTAAAGGAGAAGAGCAGATTAAACAGCAGAAATGGACACATCCTGCGTCTAAAACAGGGTTAATAGTTTTACTTTTCTTTTTATTTTCTGAGGAAAAGTTTTCATTTTGTTTTTAATGTTATGGTGAATATTTTGTCAGAAAGCAGGGATCAGTTTCGCCATGCTAAACTAGCACAGCAGTAGCCTGTGCTTAAGCTTGGCTTACTCAAAGACAGCGCCATCTCCTGGTCATTCAGAGTTTACAGAAATAATGCACTTCTACACCACCTTTATTTTTTTTGGTTTGTTTTGAAGTTCAGTTGCTTCACTACCCCACATGGTTAGCACTGCGCTAATTAGCTTCTATTTCCCATTAGCCACATTTGCATCGTAGCTCCAGTGCTAAAACTAAAACGTCAGAGACCGAACACGTCTTGGCTGATCAACTAAATCTGAAATAGATCTGAAGCTCTGCTTTTCAGGTTAAAGCTGAACGCAGATAGAGGAGGCGGGACTTACACTGTTTACCTGTGTGGCCGTTGCTGCTATTGGCTGGATTTCTAACAGGTGAGGCGTGGCCATTGGTCTGCAGTTTCTTTTCTGGAGGAGTTAGCATCTCCGCTAACGAGAAAGACAGGACATAGAGAGAAAGAGGTGAGCTCATGGCTTTTTAAAGGGAAAGTATATCTGGCCGTGTTTCACCTGAAGCTCAGTCTAATTCAGAAACATGTCTAATATGATGCTGACTGGATCTGAAATGTGGAGACGGGCTGGGAGACGCAGCTGGAAAAGAGTCTCTGAGTTCCTCTGACTCCTCTCAGATGTGTAAACTTGGTGGGGTTTTGGAGATGATTGGCGTTCGGTCTGACTCAGCATTTCACGCTTCATTACTGCCTTTATTGAAACAAAACTGGCCACTTTCATCGAGTTTGGAGAGACGTCCTTTTTTTCTAACGCACTGATCAATTTCTACACATTATTCTACTCAAAAAGAACGTGGGCGGAGCTTACTCTGTTTCCCAGCAACAGGGCTGCCGTGATTGGGCGTCTGGTGGGCGGGGGAGGTGTGGCCATTACTCCGGAGTTTCTTTTCAGAAGCTGGTGATGTCATCATTTTAGCTGTGAAAGAAAGTTTTGAAAGAGTGAAGAGTTTATTCATACAAATATTACCAACATACAGTCAGTTAAAAACAGCTGCTGAGCTCTGTGAAAGAGTGAATTAATGAGAGAGAGAGAGGGAGAGAGAGGGAGAGAGAGAGAGAAAGAGAGAAAGAGAGAGAGAGAGAGAGGCAGAGAGAGAGCGAGGGAGAGAAAGAGAGAGAGAGAGAGAGAAGGGGAGAGAGAGAGAGAGAGAGAGAGAGAGAAAGAGAGAGAGAGAGAGAGAGAGGGAGAGAGAGAGCGAGGGAGAGAAAGAGAGAGAGAGAGAGAGAAGGGGAGAGAGAGAGAGAGGGAGAGAGAGAGAAAGAGAGAAAGAGAGAAAGAGAGAGAGAGAGAGAGAGGGAGAGCAAGGTTGGTGGGGGGGCGCTTGGCGAGGAACAGTGTTTATTCCTACATGGAGGTTCTTTAAACAGGGAAAAAAAACATGTAAATGGCAAATATAACATACTGTTGGGGGGTAGCTGAGGGGTAGTTAGGCAGTTGCTGGATAGCTGAGGGGTAGTTGAGGGGTAGCTGAGGGGTAGTAAGGCAGTTGTTGGGTAGTTGAGTGATAGCTGAGGGGTAGTTCAGGGGTAGCTTAGTGGTAGATGAGGGGTAGTTAGGCAGTTGCTGGGTTGTTGAAGGGTAGCTGAGGGGTAGCTGAGTAGATGAGGGGTAGTTAGGCAGTTGCTGGGTTGTTGAAGGGTAGCTTTGAGGTAACTGATGGGTAGCTGAAGGGTAGTTGTGGAGTAGATAGGAAGTTGCTGGGTAGTTGAGGGGTAGTTAATGGGTAGTTGAGGGATAGCTAAAGGGTTGTTAAAGGGTAACTGAGGGGTAGTTGATGGGTGGTTAGGCAGTTGCCAGGTAGCTGAGGGGTAGCTGAGGGGTAGTTTGGCAGTTGCCAGGTAGCTGAGGGATAGTTAAGGGGCAGTTGATGGGTAGCTTAGTGGAAGTTGAGGGGTAGTTAGGCATTTGCCAGGTGGGTAAGGGGTAGCTGAGGGGTGGTTCAGGGGTACTTCAGGGGTAGTTGACAGCAGTGGAGGGCAAATGTAGGGTTGATGAAAAGCAGTTGTATGATTGATAAAGGGTACTTGAGGGGTAGCTAAGGGATAGTTGAGGGGTAGTTCAGTGGTAGTTAACAGCATTAGAGGGCAGTTGTAGGATTGATGAATGGTAGTTGAGGGGTAGTTGAAGGGTCTCTAAAGGGTAGTTGAGGGGTAGTTGAAGGGTCTCTAAAGGGTAGTTGAGGGGTAGTTGACATCACTAGAGGGCAGTTCCAGGATTGATGAAAGGCAGTTGAGGAGCAGTAAAGGGGCAGGTGTGGGGTAGGCAAGGAGCAGTAGAGGGGCAGATATGGGGCAGAGGAGAAGCAGCGGTGGGGGTCAGCCCTGTTACTAAAGCTCCATGAAGCTCCCTAAAGGTCATGTGACCTGCAGAAGTTTCAATGGCACTTCAGAACCTGCAGCATGGCACCGTGCCAGAGCTCCACCATCACTGAGCCGAGCGCCTTTCCAGAACGTTCTGAGGAGAACGGAAAAGAGCCGAGAAAAACAGGACGCTAAACAGACTATCACCATGGTAACGGACAGAGAAACAAAGTGGAGAGAGGTGGACTGAGGCAACGCTGCTGACCTGTGAGGTGGAGGATTATGGGTAATCATCTGTAATTGAAGTGATTGGCTGACTAACGGCAGGAATCAGTGAGACTCCAGCGCAGGAGGAGTTCAGGCCTAATCCAATGAAACCCACTGAAGGCTGCCTTAAACCAGTTAAAGAGCAGCAACCGATTGAGCTGCCGGTTACGCAGCACTGACCCCTGACTGAGGTCTAAACCGGAGCACAAATACAAACGTTAGCCTCCAGCTAATCAATGAACCCTTACAGAATGATAACAGTCTACAAACAGCCAGGGGGTGACGTGTATTAGTTGGAATGGAAAATAAAGTTAACAGGAGTTCAATCACAGCAAATTCTCACTAAATAAACAAAACATCAGAAAATCAGAACTGACAGACGCTTAACAAGACGGTTCTTCAACCAGCCAAATGAATTTTTACTTAACCATTTTCACGTCTTTCTTTATTCCTTAAACAGGCTGTGTTTCTTACTGTGCCTTTAAGACACATAAACATAAAAGACAAATAAGGTTTTTCAAAATTAATTTTCCAAAGTCTTATTAAAAAGGGCATGATGTGCATTTTTACATCTGCTTATATATTTGCATTTATATTTCTTTGCATTTTCTATCTTAAATATAGTGAGTTTTATCAGAGCTTTAATGTTTCAGTTATTAAGCTGTGCTGGTCTGGTTGCTCCATCTGACTGACTGGTTGCGTCGCCTGACTTTTCAGACTAATTTCAAATTAAACAGGATCTACTTAGACACCCGTAGAAACCTTTGACAACTTGAGTTCAAACTTTTATTTTCAATAAACAAACATTAATATAATAATTTCACGTTTTCACGGTTCTCCTGAGGTCAGACCACCTGACATGGGAAATGGAACCGTTCTAACTACAACTCAAAAATCACATTTTACTAAATCTGTGACCTTGGCATTGACCCAAGGTCACTTGGGGTCTTCTTTATGATGCAATACCCTGGCCCCTCTCTTGTAAAAGCATGTCAAAGTAAAAGTCCTTTGTTTCTGGTTGTACAGCCTGACATTTGAGGAAGTAAAAACTTGCAGTCAAATGTTTTTCAGTGAGTTGAGCACTTTTAAGTTGCCTTATTTTGCAACATTCATTTTTCATTTTGAAGTTTTCAAACATAAAATCATGCCAAACTATTTTATTTAGAGTTTTATAACTAAATTACCTTTTTTGACAATTTACTTAAACAACATATATGGTTCAGTGGTCTTACCACCTGACATTTTTAGCCTTTTTGTGGCAAAAATAAACTAAAATGATTTTTTATGGATGCAATGAAAATGTTTCACATAAAACGGATATTGTTGACAAATTTAATATGTAATATATATTTATTACATTACTTTTAAGGAAAAACACGTCCTGTGAATGACCCATATGTAAATAAGCTCTGTTCTAATTGGCTGTCACTCATTCAGAAAGCAGTCTGGGCGGGGCTAAACTGCTCTATGCTGAATGGGGGGCTAAACTAATGTAGGCTGAATGGGCAAATCTTAACTGCTGTTGGCTGAATGGGAAGGGCTTAACAGATGTAGGCTGAATGGGCGGGGCTAAACTGCTCTAGGGTAAATAGACGGGGCTAAACTGCTCTATGCTGAATGGGCGGGGCTAAACTGCTGTAGACTGAATAGTTGTTTGTTATTGTGACATCACAAAAACAATGACAGCAAAACAGGCTGTTTTTGCAGCTTAGTTTCCTTATATGGACATTTATGGATGTGGATATGGAAATTTCAGTTTTCCATGGGAGTTTTTTTTATCTTTTATCTATGATCAATTAGAACAGACATATAAGTTCAACACATTTCCTTAAATTTAGAAAAGAACAGAACACCCATCGCCATCGTTACCAGAGAACCTTAAGGAAAGCAAAAGTAATCAGAACTGCTTTCTTTTTTACTGTGTTCCTCCGGTGTTGTAAAGTTTATATATATATGTTGTATAAAAGTCGATAAGAACAGTTTTGGTAAGACTGGAGTTGTTTATCTACCTATTAGGGCTGCATATTACGACTGAGCCTATATACAGTCTGTGCACTACAGTGGTGAATCTAGGCCTTCATTTTGGAACATAAATGTAAAGACTTGGTCTAAAAGAACAAAAAAATCTCTACCATAATGCTAATTTCTGCTACTCCCCCTGTGGGATTTCTAATAGCTAACGCTGGTGCACATTGTCATTTTTTGTCTGTTTTAAATTAAACACAGACATTTGGAGCCTGTAAAAGTCGTTCCATCTGTTTCATCTGAAGTTTGTAACAGACATTATCATATATCTGAGCTTATATGTATCCGTTTTGCAGAGGTTCTTTCAGTAAACAGTCCTGCATAGAGCTGCAGCCACCGTTTAACATTCCTAACAACCAACCAGAACACTGCTTAGAGTATGACTCATATTCACAGTCAGTTATCTAGAACTTCCAGAATGCCTTTTTCCTCTGTAATTTGGTCCTGTGGTGATCAAAGGGTAATTGGTTGGTTCCTCTGTTACTTCCTAAAGCTGCTGGTAGTAAATTTAACATGTAGGGCCTTCAGTCCAGCTCCTGAAGTCCTAACCAATGGGAGAGCTCGCTCGGCTGTGTCTACCTAGAAACCACAGAGAGAACAATTCTGATTGGACGATTTTCTGTTAAGCATTTACCCCCTTCTGTTTCCAACCAAAACTTAAAGGTGCAGTGTGTAAGATCATCTTAGATCAAGGTCATCTAGTGGTGAGGTTGCAGATTGCACCCAACTGAATCCCCTCCCTCACCCCTCCCTTTCCAAGCGTGTAGTAGAACCTACAGTGGCCGTCAGGTTTTCTGCCGTCGTCTGTCCTGATTTTGTTTTGCCTCTTCATGTTTTCTCTTCTTTGACGGTGAGGATTCACCCTCTCTCACTTCCTCTTGTGCTAAATAATCAGTTTGACCCTCCGTTTGTCAAAATTTGGGTTCTCAAACTACCTTTTTTCCATACAAATTCAAGCTGCCACTTCAGCGTAAAAGCGTGAAAGGCGCCCTCTAGAGGCAGTATTTGTTTTTTTCTGTTCTGGGCTACAGTAGAAACATGGCGGTGCAACATGGCGGCCTCTGTTGAAGAGGAGATGTTCCTTATGTAGATATGGAGGCTCATTCTAAGATAACGAGAACAGAATGATTCATAGTTACAGCTGATTATTCACTAATGAACACATAGTTTTATTTACTATATTCCATTTCTGCTACCAGATCCCCCGAAATCTTACACACTGCACCTTTAACAGTGAAATACGAGTATTACTACACAACTGTTAGTGTTTAAGTTTGATGTTTATATTAAACACATATCACAGGCATGTATTTATATTATTTTGCAAGAATCACAGGGCCTGGGCTCCTTTCTGGTGCACTAACAGAGCTCAAAACAAAGTGTAACAAGCCACAGGAGCCACACCCTGAACTCCAACTCCGAGAATTCAACTCAGTGGCTGGAAATGAAACAGAATCACCAGCTAATGCTGCAAAGGGCCGTTACAGAGCGTACACAGTCACAGCCAAGCCTCCCCTGCAGGCCCACTGAGCTGGATGCGGCTTTTTTACCATCGTCAGGTAAGTTTACAGGACAGTGTACAACATTTTTACATCTGTATTTTTATTTATTATGTCTAACTTCCCCCAACTTTACATATTTTTACCTACACTTCATTCTGCACTGTGCTACTCTGCTCTATTGTCTTCTGTTTTGAAGGGCTGCTGCTGCTGCTGGGGTTAATAAAGAACTGTCTGTCTACCTGTCTGTGATTTAGCCTGAACTCCTCTAACCTCATCCAGCAGCTCAGTCCCTAAAACACCACATACACACATCATTACACAACAATGACACTGTAAACAAAGGCATGACGGCAGCTGTAATAGATAAACAGTGCAATGCTAAAGTGGCACTTATTTATGGAGAAGCTGATTGGCTATAATAATTCTGGAAGTCTTTGGATTAAGTTGGCATCATATTTCCCTGCCTTTTATTTCAAATTCCCGTTCCACCTTAAATGGTGCAGCAGTTACATTCACTTAAGGTGGAACGGGAAACTGGAGCAAGAGCCAGGCGAACAGAACAGCTTCAGAGTGAATCAGCTTTTCTGCTGGGCTCAGACTGCCCCTCGGGGCCGATGCAGCAAGCCCCCCAAAAACTGCCCCAAAGCCCTGCTGCATCATTCCTCAGCCTCCGTCTCTCTTTACCTGACAATGCACCGGCCTCCACCTTCTCCGCCATCTTCCTGCTCCCCGGTAAACCTCTCTCCGTGTCTCCGGCGTCCGTGAAGGTGGAAAACGTCCCGGTTTGGTGGTTCAGAGTGAAACAGCGCGCTCGGAAATCACAGCATCGCCGGATTCGGTCCGCTCTCCTCCAGCTTCAGCACCACCAGCTCAGCCCGCTCAGTCAGCACAGCAGCGCTGCAGTGTGCGCAGCCGGAGCGGAGGGGGCGCTGCGCCGCATTTCGTTTCACACCCGTATTCGGGAGAGCCCCGCCCCTCCTGAGCTCTGATTGGCTAGGGGTCCGAACGACACAGGCCGTCCAAGAAAGGCTGATGTCCGTACCCCGTGTTTGGGTTGACTGCCCCTTTGTTCCTACTTTTTGGTCAGACTTCTTAGAAAAGTAAACAAATACTACCTTCATCTTAAAGCTGTGTGACGTAATATGCTACTCACCATATACCGGACGTGGAGCGTGTTATAAATACTATGATCTTAATGGGTAAATACTGCACAGATAAGCGCACATTTCTCACAGTTCACAAGTTTGGTCTCTTTTTAATGGACCTTTCCTCACTATTAGATTCCTTTAGACCGGTAAAGAACAAGAGGAGCCTAAAACTATCAGAACTTAGGATGTTATAAACGCCTCATGACTCCTTTTATCTCTCTCTTTGTTATTTCATCTCTTTGTTAATGTTTTATAGATTGTATTCCTGTCATTCACACTTATTCTGTCTTTGGTATGGAACATTTTGGTTATTAGAAGACAATTCAAAACAAAGGCTGATAGATACAGTGTGAGCACTCCCCCTGCTGTTTGTATTTGTAATAACACTTGTGTGTATCTATTTCTCTATCTATGTAATTGCTGTCTGATCCACTCGCACCAGCGCAACACACACTAACACACCACCACATCAGTGTTACTGCAGTGCTGAGAATGATCCACCACCCAAATAGTACCTGCTCTGTGGGGGTCCATGGGGGTCCTGACCACTGAAGAACAGGATAAAGTATGCAGAGAAACAGATGGACTACAGTCTGTAACTGTAGAACTACGGTCAGTGGAGCTGACAGAACGGACAGTGAGTGTAGGTGGACTTAAATGATGCGGCTATATATACAAGAGTACATACAGTTTATATCTCTCTACTATACAACGCTACATCACCAGTAAGCCATCATCAGTGTTTCATGGTGAAAATGTGCTTTAGGGTAGTTTCCAATCAGGAAATAATAATCTGATGACGCTGCATTTAATAATAGCTTGTCATCTTGCTGTGATACGTTCATTTACCCAGCAATCATATATATATATATATACACATACACACACACATACACGTGTTGACTACATTCGGGGTAAACGGTGTGAATCTTGGTCAAACGATCTCTTTAAATCAGATGTGACAGAAGAAGGAAACTATAATCAAGTGACGATTTAAGCTCAGATGCTTCACCTCTGACAACTAAAACATTGTAAATAAATCAATCAATCTGTCAATCAATCAGAGAGTTAGAGATACATCTGTATAACCCGGGGAGGAAGCCGAAGTCCACGTGATGGAAGGGGAACACAGAAGGCCACCCAGCGCCAGAGGCAACCGACAGAGCGCCCATATTAAACTAAACACATCTGACCAGTCTGTCAAATCCGTTTCCCTTCAGAAGAAGCAGCTTCCAGTGATGGAGGAAGCTCAGCGTTAGGCTAGACTATTTCTGGAGCAGAATGAGGGCAGTCGCATCAAACAGCAGCTCACGCCTTCCTGACAGCGAGTTAAACATTCTCAGAAGATAAAAACAACCGTAAAAAATGTGAGTCTCTGTGCCAAAAAGCACGACGTCAAGTCTGGAAGATGGTAAAATCCGGCTGTTTTATTATTATTAAAAAAATAAAAAAGATCATAATAATTGAACGTTGTTAAAGACGATGTGAGATGTTCAAAAGCCTTAATCTGGGCCATACAACTTACAAGAAAACAGTCCTTTATGATGTAAAATAAACATGAATTTAAAAACTTAGATATTCCCATAAACAGCTGTTTATACTGCTGCCCCCTGCTGGACAACACACTGTACTGGAATTCACTCAGCTCAAACACAAAAAAGGGGGTTTAAATCTTTTATTGTAAATCCTGTTTTTCTGTATTTGAGTCAAATTCCACCATATACGGTGAAATAAAATATAAATACATTAAAACTATAACAAAAATATGTATGTGTATATGTGTATTACTGATGATTTAGCGGTCACGAGCAGTCTTGTATTGAGTCAGGTGTTCGGGAAAAGGCTGTAAAAAGACTTGAGGGGATGTTTAAGTGGATTTATCAGTAAAGGGGAAGGTGAAACAGAGTCCCTATCGATCAGAAAGAATTAATCAATCAATCAGCGTCCACTACAGTCCTCTCAGAATAAACGCAGCAGGCCAGCAGCAGTCCGAGCTCCACAGGTCATCAGATCTAAAAGAAGAAAGAGGGAAACAGATTAAACACTGAGCTGGCTGAGGCAGCCAGCGCTCCGAGGTTCCTCACAGCGTTTATGCCTTCAAAACACCTCTTACATCTGATTTAAAGGACCCCATCACAGAAAACCCAATTTTGCACACAAAACAGTGTGATGTTGAAAATGTTTCATTCCCAGTCTATAAGCATCAAAAAAAGCAAGGTTGGAATTTACTGTTTTTGTGACATCACAAAAACCCACAAATTTACATATATCCGCTGATTCAGCATACATATTCTTATTTTCTTATTTATCTTTTTCCATTTATTTATTTGTTTATTATTGATGTTCATATTCTTGGTTTAATGATTATTTTATTATTATTTCAGTCAATTTAATTTGTTTCCTTTTCCTTTTTAGTTTTCTCATCCTTCTTTTGATTTGATTAACCTTAACATTTTAGTGATGCTTCAATAATTGTTTTTTTTTTTAGTTTTTTACCTATTTTTATTATTGCTTAATTTTTTTATACTTACTTGATTTGAGTCACTTTTATTATTAAATCTACTTTTACTATTTGATGTGTTCTTACACGATTTACATTTACAGCATTTAGCAGAAACTCTTATCCAGAGCGACTTACTAAAAGTGCTTTGTCTATCTCTCTCTTTGCTAGTTAAAAAAAGGTTAGAGAGAAAGACGGTCCTGATCTCAGATACTGATCAATCCCTTTTTCCTGTATCAACTCGGCAACATTGTAAATGAGGGTCACCCTCAATGTTCTCTGAGGTTAAATAAAGGTTTATTGATTGATACCATAGTTTATTCCCGCCCACTCACACAGAAGTTATAAGGAGTGTTTCAGCCAGGAATGCTTTTTTAACAAGGCACAATACACGGAAGCCAATCAGAACGTAGGTCATTTACATATATCAGTCGTGAAACACAGCATGCTTAATTCTAAGGGATAAACAGGGGTTGGAAAACGATCATGTTAGAATAAATTCTGACTATTTTGGCTCATAAAACCACACAAACATTATAAGTGGACTGATATATAAATGAGCCCCGCTCTAATTTGCAGCGCTGTATTGTACTGGAAAAGCAGTCAGGGCTGAAACTCTCCTTATAACGTCAGTCTGAATACGTGAATGAGTTTCTGTGACAACAGCAATTAATTCAAAATGGGCTGTTTTTGTAGTTTAGTTTTCATATATGGACTCTGCACTTGGTACGTTGTGAAATTTGTGAATGTTCACATATTATATCAAACTTTCATTTAAAGAAAGTGGGAAAAAATGCGTTTTTTCACGATACGGGCCCTTTAACTAACAATGCAGAAACGCTGCTAAGGTAACATCCCATAATATAACAGCAACACAAACACCCCAACTACACTCACGTCATCAATGTCGTCGTCGTCGTCTCCAATGTCATCAAACTGGATCTCGTCGTCGTCGCCAGCTCCGAACGTGTCAGTCTCGTTGATTTTAGCTGCAGGAGGGAGAAGGAGGGGTGGAGAGAGAGAAAGAGAGGGGTGGAGAGAGAGAAAGAGAGGGGTGGAGAGAGAGAAAGAGGGGTGGAGAGAGAGAAAGAGGGGTGGGGAAAGAGAAAGAGGGCTTATTAGAGAGGGACATTATATTCACTGAGATACTCCATGCAGTGTGAATCCACAGCTCCCACAGTAAAAACAGACCCTAACTCTGCGTTTATCATCACTTCATCCATTCTCCATATATAACACAGAGAATCCTTTAATGGACCTCCCTGTTAAAAAAACACAGAACGCATTAAAAGGTTCTGCTGGTTCCTGGTGGTGTCCAGTAGTCACTAAAGGTATCCGGTGTTTTCCTGATGGGTTGATATCACAGTATAAAAGATTAAGGATTAATTTAACCGGTGCTCTGATTCAGACACATTTCATCATTTCCTAACGGGATCTAAAGGTGTCCTACAGGAAACCAGGGGTCTCTAAAGGCCACCATTGAGCCAACTCCCATTCCAGGTTTTCTCCTAATGGTTCTCAACATCTTCAGCATGGTTTTCACGAGTTTCAGCAAATAAACCTGATATTGAATTTAGAAAATTTCACATTTAATCACATTATTATTACTATTATTACCATTATAATTATCAGTATACCAATACATTTGATCATTTTCTAACACAGTCTATTATTATCAGTACACCCTCATGTGCAATTCCACAGCTGCTACATTGTTTTATATCCACCATTTTTTATTTTACTTTCTTATAATTTTATTTTAAATTATTTTATAGTCGTATTTTTATTTTACACTTTTTTTATAATTTTAAAATATACATTTTTCCTTTAATATCTTGCATTTTTATTTTAGATTAGCCTATATTTTGGTTTCATTCCTTAATTTTTGTTTTTGCACTGTTAGGATTGCTGCCTAATTTCGTTGCACCCTGTGCGACGAAAAAGAATCTTCGATCGGTATGACGACACTAAAACATGTTCAGAGTAACCCTTGCTGCCCAGCAGTACGTGGGTCACTGTTATTAATAGGTTGGCGGTCCATGTCAGGCTGATGGTGCACGTCTGCAGCCGGACCTTCTCCGTTTACTGCTGCTGCTCATCACACTGAACACCGGACACCAGGTTTTACACACTTCCCCTTCACTTTTCAAAACATTCCGCTCATGTGACCCAGCGCTGCGTGTGCTGCAGACTGACCGTGCTCTGGAAGCTCCCCATAAGCCTTGAGACTCCTCGCTTCATCAGCATTATACTTCAGAATAACATCAGCTTTATTATCCTGACAGAGAGAGAAGAGGAATCAATGCATAACTGATTATAATAACGAGTGATAAAGATATATTAATAAAATATGAAGATGAAGAGCGTAAATCATGAAAATAACAGGTGCCTGATGTAGTTTAGTGTAATATAGCTCCACCCATTCAGCCTACAGCAGTTTAGCCCCACCCATTCAGCCTACAGCAGTTTAGCCCCACCCATTCAGCCTACAGCAGTTTAGCCCCACCCATTCAGCCTACAGCAGTTTAGCTCCACCCATTCAGCCTACAGCAATTTAGCCCCACCCATTCAGCCTATAGCAGTTTAGCCCCACCCATTCAGCCTATAGCAGTTTAGCCCCACCCATTCAGCCTACAGCAGTTTAGCCCCACCCATTCAGCCTACAGCAGTTTAGCCCCACCCATTCAGCCTACAGCAGTTTAGCCCCACCCATTCAGCCTACAGCAGTTTAGCCCCACCCATTCAGCCTACAGCAGTTTAGCCCCATCCATTCAGCCTATAGCAGTTTAGCCCCACCCATTCAGCCTACAGCAGTTTAGCCCCACCCATTCAGCCTATTAGCAGTTTAGCCCCACCCATTCAGCCTACAGCCTTTTAGCCCCACCCAGTTTAGTTATAAGGAGTGTTTCAGCCTGGACTGATTCTGAATGTGGGCCGCCAAACAAACTGCTTAATTCCAAGTGATAAAGAGAGGCTGAAAAATGGTCGTGTAAAAAAATGTGACGTAATACTTCACATAAAAGAGCAGACCTAATGTAAGAAATGAATTAAATATTATTCAACCTCAAAATGTGAATTAGTCCAATTTACTGTCAAAGCAGCAACATTAAACTGTACTGAGTTAACGAGTTGACAGGGAAAAGAGAGCGGAAGGAAAAGCCAGTCTCTTGGGGTTAGCCGTTAGCCATTAGCCTAGCATGGCTTTCTGCGTGCTTGGCCAGCTGCCTGCGGTAAAAACTTCACATTTTAAATCGACTTTGGTCCTTTTTTCTTTTTTACACTGATTTACAAAAAGACCACAGAGTGCAGGATGTAGGATACGACCCCCTTAAACAATCACGCATGTGTTTAGAAGCCCACCTGGTAATCTCTCAGGCCCACCAGGATGATGTCAGACGTGTTGATCCACACCTGCAGGAGCACAGACACACGATAAAGTGATGAACAGTGTGAAAGAACAACATTACAGTGAAGAAAGTGTTCTAGATAGCTCCACAGGCTGGTCTGCTAGGAGCCTGAGCATGGAGGGCCAGCATCTAAACTGTCCTTCAGGAACTCTGCAGCCTTTTACTCACTCATTCCTGAGTTTGTGCAGTTTTTAACAATTAAAGGTGCAGTGTGTAAGATTTAGTGGCATCTAGTGGTGAGGTTGCAGATTGCACCCAGCTGAATCCCCTCCCTCACCCCTCCCTTTCCAAGCGTATAGTAGAACCTAAGATGGGCGTCAGGTTTTCTGCCGTCGTCTGTCCCGATTTCATTTCACTTCTTCATGTTTTCTCTTCTTTGACGGTGAGAATTCACCCTCTCTCACTTTTTATTGTGCTAAATAATAAGTCTGATCCTCCATTTGTCAAAAATTTGGGTTCCCAAAATTCTCACGACACAGAATGGTCAGCAGCACCGGCAGCGACCACTGATTCTTCTTCTTTCTACGTCTTCCAACTGGAGCTACATCGCCACCAAATTCAAGCTGCTGCTTCAGCGTAAAAGCGTGAAAGGCGCCCTCTAGAGGCAGTGCATGGTTTGCCCACCATAACAGGTAATTCTAAGATAACAAGAACACAACGATTCAGAGTTACAGCTGATTATACACTAATGAGGACATGGTTTTGTTACTATAGTCCATTTCTGATAATAGATCCCCCTTTAAATCTCACTCGCTGCACCTTTAAGTCAGTTTTAATGAACCATTATTACGATTAAAAATTCCTCTATTCCCCCCAAACGTTCAGCGAGAGCTCCTGTTTCTCTGCCATATCGAGCTGTTTGAGCTCTTTGCTTTTATAAAGGCTGCAGTGTCTCCTGCTCTGCGCAGCTCCACCTCTCCACCTCCCTGTCTGGGAAAATCTGTCACACGACACTAAACGTATGCGTCAAAAAGCGTTTCCAATAAGGTTTTCACAACATTCGACCCGCTTAAACTTTAAAAAGGTTTTGTTGTCGTGGACTAAATCACCAAACGACTTGAACATTACAGCGAGAGAGAGAGAGAGAGAGAGAGAGAGAGACCTTTTTCCGGAGTTTTCCTCGGATGTGGCACAGTCTCTTCACTCCGTCGAAGCACATGGCCTCCAGCCGCCCGTTTCCCAACATCTTTATCACCTGAGCGTATTCTACACACACACAGTTACATTACGATTAAATGCTGAAAGGGGAACTCCACTCAATTTCCAAATATCTGCACAATTAAATGGTTACGTTGTAAACAGAGTCGTTCAGAAAAGTTGTAGAGTGTTGTAGTCATGGCGACCCCTGGTTCCTATCACCACCATCACAATCCAGTATTTTTAATACAGTAATTTTACAGTCTGACGGTAATAATTGTGGAGTGATTTTAATCCAGTATGAATCTGCAGTGTGTGTAGTTTTACAGTCTGACAGTAATAATTGTGGAGTGATTTTAATCCAGTATGAATCTGCAGTGTGTGTAGTTTTACAGTCTGACAGTAATAATTGTGGAGTGATTTTAATCCAGTATGAATCTGCAGTGTGTGTAGTTTTACAGTCTGACAGTAATAATTGTGGAGTGATTTTAATCCAGTATGAATCTGCAGTGTGTGTAGTTTTACAGTAATAATTGTGGAGCGATTTTAATCCAGTATGAATCTGCAGTGTGTGTAGTTTTACAGTAATAATTGTGTAGTGATTTTAATCCAGTATGAATCTGCAGTGTGTGTAGTTTTACAGTAATAATTGTGGAGCGATTTTAATCCGGTATCAATCCAGTTCTTATAGGGTGATACTGTATCAGATTAATGTGACAGTTTTCAATCTGCTTTTTTCAGGAACCAAAACATGAGCTGTACTCAGCAGAACAGAAGGCCGGTTGCCATGGTAACTCACCCTGGCCGTCCTCCTTGAACACCAGCTCTCTCTTCTCCGACTCGTTTTCATTCTTTCCACGTCTTCGATTTTTACCTCCCTTACCTGCACACAGGTGAACGCTGGGATATCAGTGGATATTAAGGATGAACTGATACTCTAGCCGTGTGTTTCAAAGCTAAGCTTTTCAGCTGTTACGTCACTCGGCATCCTTTATTTTTAAAAAAATTTAATTTTGTGAATTAAGTGAAAATACAGTACCACATCTACCACAGCAAACAATTAATTAGCAAATCTAACACACTATTTCTATTTATTTGCTGAGTAATACAACAAAAGCTGAAATATAAACAAACCTGAAATAAAAAATATGCCACGAATTTTGCACAGGCCACATTGTTTTTTCTGCCAGTGTGTTAAATTAAGTAAATAAACGGCAATTGTGTATTAAAATGTGCTGTGCTAAGGATGTGTAACTTATTTACACTCAGAAAATCAAAACAAACATGGAATTTGGCCAAATTTTCGCACAACTGTTTGAAAAACAGTAACAAAATCCTTTTTTAAAAAATGTTTTAAATGTAAGATTATTTAAAAGCATCACACTGTTTACATCGGTGAACTGTGACGCATTCGTACAAAAAGCACATTTAGGAACACGATTACATTTTGAACAACTGATCACGTGTCGTTCTACCAACTCTAGAACCATGAAAATGAGCTCGAAATAAGGACAGAACACAGAACGAGTCTCTGTGCTGTTCCTAAATTCATCTACAAAAACTACAATAATTCTTCCATTAAAAATCATTAAAATTTAAAGATTCACGTCATTCCAGGTATGAAAACATGTCGCACCAGCGACCAGCTTAAATGGTTCTCTGCATGGTGAAGTGGTTCTTCAGACTGATGGTTCTACATAGAACCTTTGTGAAAATGGTTCTTTTTGGTGCTATATAGAACCATGTACAACACATTCTCCATCAAAAGAACCATGTCACCATGCAGAGAAGCATTTGATCATGAAATGGTTCTATACAGAACCGCTGCCTTTACTAAAGAACCCCTGAAGGATCATCTTTAAGTGTGTACCAATTATTTAAATCATACAAACAGAATTTTCTTTCATATTTTGCCTGAAAAAGTTCTTATCAGTGTTGTTACAGAAATAAAACTCAACTGTCAGCAGTTTTAAAGTTGAAATGAAATAATATTAACCTCTTACTCTCCAGGGTATATTTTGGCTGTTCCATCTGAATTCACGTGACCAAACCGTAAGGCAAATTATTCAGTAACTGCATGAAATAAATGTAAATTTTTATTTTATTTATTTATTTATTTTTTGTAAAAGTTCCCCTCAAATTAACAGAACATGTGTTTTATGATCACACATATTGCTGTATGCTTACAATTTACTGCTGAAAGCCAAAAATCTTAGACGCTCTTTGTATTATTTTATAAAAATAATTTCTACAGAGCAGATCACTGAAGAGATGCCATCTGTTTATAGTTTATAGTCCAGATTTATGGAAAAACGGGTCGACTTTCAGTAGAAAAAAAACTGAGTTCAGCTTCTTTTATTATAAGACATGATCCTGTGATAACATGAAAGTTATGAAGAATATGACGAAGTGCGTTTTGGAACCACCGGTGGTCCCACAGAGTTGAAGAGGATATAGAACGATAAACACTCAAAAAACACACTTCATGCTTAAATGGTTCTTTACATGGTGATATGGTTCTTCAGATTGATGGAGAATGTGTTGTATATGGTTGAATATATATCAACATTAACATCCCCTCAGTGGTAGAAAGACCCAAACACTCTGGTTGGGTCTGAGAGTGTGTATATATATATATATATATATATATATAGATATAGATATAGATATAGAGAGAGAGAGAGAGAGAGAGAGAGAGAGACAGACAGATGGATATGTAAATAGACAGACAGACATATAGATAGGCATATATAGATAGACAGATATAAATAGACAGATGTACAGACAGATACATAGATACGCTCCCTCTCTCCCCCTTTTCCCTCTTTCACAGTCTCTCTCCCCCTCTTTTTCTCCTTCATACATTCACACATTCCCTCTCTCTCTCTTTTCTCCTTCTTACATTCACACGTTCTCTCTCTCTCTCTCTCTCTCTCTCTCTCTCCCTCTCCCTCTCTCCGTTCTTACCTTTGTTCTTCGGCATGTTCTCTCAGGTTCCTCTCTGTGTCTGTCTGTAGTGAGGGGGTGAGGAGATGAAGTCGTTTCGCTGCTTTTCTGTTCCTGATTTTCTCAGTTTGAGGCAGAAAAACTGAAAAACTGAAAAACTGAAAAACCGAAAAACGTGGAGCTTCAACAGAGCTGCTCCACTTCCGCTTTACGCCGCTCACTGCCCATGCGCGCCGCTGAAACCTCGCGACAAGCTTTATTCAAAACGTCTCGAGGACAAACAACGGATAAAGACGGAAAAACAGAAAAAAAACTTAATAAAAAAACTAAAAAACATACATTTTATACCGAATAACTACAAACACACACAAATATTAACACAATACTTTATACCATAAAGCTACTACAGATAAAACACACTAAAACTCTTTCACCTCAGCGTTATGCTAACAGAGGCGCTAACGTAATTTCCAACAACAAAATACTAAAATTCTTTCTGCCAATAACTAAACCTAAATCCTAAAACACTGATTCTGATAAAATCACTGCATAGTTTATCAATGACTAACGCAGAATAAAACCTCTTAAATACTGTAAATCAGTTACTAATGCTAATAAAATGTGGATGCTTCTGCATAAAGATGCACATAATGTGTCACAAATGCATAATGCAGAATAAAATACTGAAATACTTCTAATTAATAATGTTGAATAAAATGACTACCATGCTTTAAAGCAATGACTAATGCAGAAATCAATACTAAAATACTTTTATTCAATTGCCAAGGCAAATTAAAAGTACAGTTAAATAAACCCCTCAAATATTTTATATTAAAGTGGAAATATGTGTTCTTACGCATAAACAGGTGTTATACACAGGGTGTCCCAAAAAAAATCTACATCATTTCGTGGTCTAATAACAGCCAATTCTCCCTCAAATGATCTCAAACTTTAACAAAATGTGTTAAAACTAACCAAGTTTAATTTTAATGTTTTTAATGAGAGTGCAGCGGCATTTTCCAGAAAATTCAATAAAAATGCACCAACTGGAAAGCAGATTTAGACACGGCACAAAAAACTCAAAGAGGAAGGCTGTCTGTGCAGCACAAAGGGATCTGGACGACCACCAGCATCGGAAGATATTACATCTGTGAAGCTGTGAAATCGGTTATAAAATCTACCTCCCTCTGAATTTCTTGTCCGAATTTTGATAAATAAATCTTGTATTGTTGAACATGAAGCCTATTTGTCTCATATGCCATGTAAATATGTAAATAAACATATATACTTTTATTTTATTTCTCTTGTACTTTAACTTATGTCTAGATTTATTTCTATTTTCTATTTTTCTGCATAGTTTATGTGCAATTATGTCTTGCTACTGAAACACTGCAATTTCCCTCCGGGATCAATGAATTTCTATCTATCCATCTATTGCCAGGACGTGTAGTTACTCAGATATTCACATCTCAAGTTTTAAGTCAAGTTTTAGACAAAATAAAAGAGTCAATAATGATAAATACTTAAAGATTTTATTATGGTTATTCTTTATAACGTTTGATTTCCCATCATAGTAGTAATAAGACCGCTTTCAGACCCACATGGAAGAATCGACAGCAGTAGTTAAGGCTCTCTGCAGGAGCTCCAGGCCAAACGCAACACCTGCACCCCCACTCACCCACTCACTCACACACCGGAGTAGAAAAGAGCTTGAACACGTGTACAAAAATACATTCTGAACGTCTCTCTGTAAAAAGTCTGTTCACTGGAAAAGTTTATAGTATCAAATCTGATGAACACACGTCACACTTATTCCCTTTTTCTTTAAACGGCGGAAAGAAGACAGAAAGGAGTGATGATGGAGAGTTAAAGGAATAGTCCAGATTTTTCCACCCTGGTCTCCACCTGCTGTACGTGTAGCGCACGAGCGATTAGCACGGACAGTAACTTCAATTCCAACTTAGAAAACAAGAGGAAACATAGCAGCATCAAAAAGGCTTATAATACAAGTCAATGGGCAGTAAACGTTTATGCCAAACGTTATTATTTGTATTTGGATTTGCATGTTTTTTTACTCAGTCTTCCCATGATAATGAGTTTATGAGTTTATTATTTGTTCCATTTGTTTTCTTGAGATCTTGTGATATTTATGTCATTGCGGCAAAACAAAGGCTGTTTTCTCTAAATTTCGGGTTAATTTTATTATCGCAACAAAACGGACATCGTTTTATCGAGATAACATTCGTTATGTTGAGATAACGGCATCAAGATCTTATGAAAACATTTCTTTGTGCTGTAATGACATAACACAGGATCATGAGAAAACAAACTAATGGACCTCTAGGGCTTCCGAATTTGTGTAAAAAAAACCTTAATTTCTTCTGTCGACTCTTTAAAATTGAGCTGTAAATCTGTCCAATCAGTTCTTTCTAATGGTAATTAGAACTAGCTTTCCAAAGGGAAGGATACATGCTAATTCATAAGCAGTCAGTGGTGGGGGGCGGAGCCTCCTGATCACCATGGACACCAGAACACCTTAGAGAAAGCTAAACCAACCAGGACTGCTATTTTTTCAGAATAGTGCGGTTTTAATCAGCGTTGTTCGCACATCTCTTCACACAAGTTCAGCGTCTGCCCATTGACTTCCATTATAAACGCGTTTCATGCTAACTGGTTTTCCGTTCCTTACTAAGTTCAGGGGGGCGTGTTGAAATTATCGTCTGCAGAAATCGGCCGTGCACTACAGACACTGCACATACAGCTTAGGCTGAAAAAGGTCCAAGTACACCTTTAAAGGTCCCTCAGGGTCTGAGAACACTGGGCTAAAGGGACTGAGGTTAAAATGGTTTTACATTTTGTGTTTATTTTTCTCTCATTGCTACTTTGGCCTTCAGTTTGATGCACTGTTCAGCATCTTCTGCATCGCTGAACATCAGATTTTCAGGCTTTTTTTGCAGAATATATCTGAGCTCCTGGACCAAAACACTTAAGACACCTTTATGAAGCTCAGTAATACAACAAAGGAAAGTTATTTCATCCAAAAATATTCCAAAAAAATAGTTTTCAGAGGTCGCGCATGGAAAACACAGTAGGACAGAGTGCACATGTGCCTGAAGAGTTTGATTTCACAGACGCCGTTTAAACTTTTTGCCATTGGAAGTTACAGTACAATTCAGTTGCCAAGGAGTGGCCACTTTAATGGAAACAAACAGGAACGGAAAAGTACTGCCATGGAAGCACTGAGACTCGACCTGCTGGTCTTTCTCTTGTGAATAAATGTGAATAAATGGTAGATATTTGCTAAAACGGTACTTACAAATCAGAAATCTGAAATTATATACTTTTATTATATATAATGCTATGATGGCTAATGGCTGCGACTATTATTTTTCCTCTTAAGGGATTTTTTGGGAATAGTTTCCGAATGGCACAGTCTCTGCACTTTCATGATTAGGGGTTCAGGTCGAGCAGACTTGGTCATTTCTACATGGAGTGTGTCTATAGCAAGAAAAATGCTCCCAAAAAACAACAACAACAAACAACCGAACATTTCTCAGGTTCCTCAGCATAAAACACTCTTTTTGAACCCGGACCCACAAAAAAATCCCATTATATTCACATACAATTCTGTTATAAAGTAAATTTCTAGAACCTTTTTTTCATAATAAAAGAAAATAGACTGATTTCATGTTTTTGCATAACGCTCCAGGTTTCAGAGACAGTAATGATTGTGCGAGCAGTGACTCCACTGAACGATGCTGATTTCACTCCCTGTCAGCAGAGGCTGGAAGAAACAGACCAGGAGAAAGAGAA